AAACCTAACACAGGCAATGTACTGACCTATTACCCTGTCTCAAAGAAAAAAAATTTAAAGGCTGTGAATGTAGCTCAGTGTGAAACCATCCCCTGAGTTTACTCACCGGTACCAAAAACCAAAAATTAATTAATTAATGTTTTGAGAATACCAGAATCTACTACAGTACAATTTATCTGTGTGTCAAGTCTGCCATCTTCTGGTAACTAGTGGAATTGCAGTTGATCAAACTAATATTGTAAACCCTAATTTAGCCTCTTGAAAGTTCAAATTGTATTTATACACAGTTTCCCTAGTCTAAGAAATGGTAAGAATACATAAAAGTATGTGGTAATCATGATTCCTCATTATATTTCTTTGAAGCCTTACAATGTTTTCATTCATTAATTGGAATGGTTTTATTCTGGGTTGTTTGATTTTATTGTCTGTGGTGGAATGAACAGCTATTTTAAAGAAAACAAGACATTATAATAGCTAGTGATCATTTAATATCATCTTGTTTTGAAGTCCCACCAAGCTTTTGTTCTTCTGTCTCCATAGGTTTTATCATGTTGTATCTTTTTGGATTTTCTTATATGTGATAGTACAAACAAAAATTTTTAAGGACAAGGAGATAATATAGAAACCATTGTTCATCTTCTGTTAGTTGGTTCTCAAAACCCTGTAATACTTTCATTCTCTTGAATGGTCTTACACTGTTTAATACTATAGTATATGAAGGTATACTCAAATATTTCAAGGAAAGAGACACTATGGTAGCTACTGTTACGTCGGGTTATCCTGTGGTGAAACCCTATGTTGTTTAAATTGTTCTGTTCTGACCTGTGTTGTTATGTCCTCTTTTATCTTAATCTTTTTTAAAATAAAAAAATAAAAAAAGCAAGTTCAAATTGTATCCACTTATATTGGAGAATAAGTTTATAAAACATTTCTTTCTTATAATATTATTCTCATTTATACAAAAATCCAACAGGCATAAGATAAGATTAAGCTCTTCTTAGGTTTTAGTCTTGAATGTCAAAACTACTACTGTCCTTGGTAATTCAGGCTACATATCAAGTCAAGTGTTTCCAATGAAAATAATTCTATCAACTTCTAGGCCCTGGGTGTAAAATTGTTAACTTTTATACAACCCAGGAGGAAAGTCTCACATGTCTTTTTTATTTTTATACTTTTCCATAAGAGAAACATGCCATGGTTTCACAGATGACAAAAGCCTCATAGACAGACATAGATTTCTACAATAAAAAAATTGGAAATGGAGGAGACTGATGGTAATTTAGTTTTCTATTGCTGCTCTAATAAAGTACCCCATACTTAATGGTAATTTGTTATGATAATTTTGGTAAGAATTGCAAATAGGTTTACTGAGCTGTATCAAGGCAGCATGCTTTTCGTAGCTGGCAGGGAGCTTCAGTTCCCTTGTTTCTAGAAGCCACAAGCTTCTAGAATTCTCAGGCTTGTGGACCCTTCTTCCATATTCAAGCTGGCAGCTCAGCAGTTTCAGGTCTCCCCCTCTCACCCCAACACTTTCCCCTTAGAAGGAAGACTCTGATTACACTAGGCCCACCTGGATAACCCAGGCACTCTCCCTCTGTTGTATCAGTCAAGCCCTTTCACCAAGTCAGGTAACCATTCTCAGGGTGCAGGGACCAGAACCTCTTGTGGGGAGGGCACATTGTTTTGCCTTCTGTAAAAACCACAACAAATGTAAGAACCTAGGCTTTTCTTATTTTAAGAAGCCTGGAGTGATTTGAATTCTTAATATTATCCAAGTAATATACTCTCTTCATCTGTACTTCTATCATTTTTAACAAGTAGAATTCTATTCAAAGGTGTCAAAGGTGCTTGGGCAGTAAAAGCAGCAGTCCAATCATTCTGCAATGATGTTTTACGTCCACATTAACTAGGAAATCTTTTTTTTTTATGGGTACCGAGGATTGAGCTCACGACTGCGCGCGTGCAAAGCAGGTGCTTATGCCACTGAGCCAAATCCCCAGCCCCAACTAGGAAATCTTGAGCAACTCATTAAACTTCTTGGAATTTAAATTTCTTCACGTTCCGAGCTAGAATCCGTCTCCAAACTATGAACACCTAAAATATGACACAGAGCAATCTACATGATATGGGACAAGAACCAATATTTAACAGACTCTGTGTCAGGCGCTGTGCTGAGCACTGCACGTATTGAGTGCAGTAGCAGTGGCCCTGGTTTTCAAGATGAGAGAAAGAACCTATAAACACACAGCAAATATACAGGCAAGCGGTGCTCTAACTTCAATCTATGTAAATGACAGCTCACAATCCGCATCGTGCTGCCTCCTTACAGAGGTCCTCAACAGTCCCTCATTAGTCAATAGACAGATCCAAGTCCCTCATTAGTCAATAGACAGATCCAACTTATTATTTATACATTTCTCAAAAACAGGGATCAATACTTACTGTTTCTTAGTAAGTGGCACTCAAATATTAGAAATCATGCAAGAATCCAAGCAAATTTGTGACAGTACACTTAATTCATCATGCAACCAAGAAGCCCAATCTTAATAAAGCAATTCTCAAAATAAAAAAATAAAAGAAAGGTTTATCACTGATGAAGTCCAGGCTCACACAGAATATCTTTCTTCAGTACCTTGGTCTTTTGAGAGAAAGACTCAGTTTTTTATTATAATGTAGTATTCATAGCTGACCAAATTACATTCTTAGGGTTTAAAATACTTTTCTTCAACATGATGCCCTATGTGAAAATCACATTCCTGTAACACTGAAATATCTGCCGCGCAGCCAGATAACTATGGATTGAACCTTCTAAAAACCATGGGACAAAATAAAACTCTCTCCTTTCATATATGGATGTCAGGAATTTTCTTCCAGGAAAAAGAGGTGACCAGGCTCATCTAGGGATCTTGGTTACAAGGAGGGCCCCAAGTGAGTGCTGTCTCCAAAACCATGTGTGACCAGCTGCCCAGGTAACTGATTCTGGAGTAGGTGCTCTTGGCCACGCTTCGAGAAGCACCATTAGCTGTCAGAAAGACACACACAAAACATGATACCATTAATCGCCTGGTTTTCTCAGACTCAATGAGAATGAGACTGAAAAACACTCGAAAAGGACACTCCGGCAGCACCGAGATATGTGAAGATATTTCCGCATCACCCGGGCAGATTAAATTTGCAGCAGCTGCTGTTGGCTATGAAAAATCTTTCAATGCTCTTTCATTTATGAAAATAATATAAACTAAACTATAAGTGGGATAATGTACAAAAAAATCATACCTTAAAACCTAAAAAACTTGCTGCCACGCTGATCTTATATCATCCATACTATTAAAGTAAACCTGCTCTGACCTCGGACCTGATTACAGAGTCTGTTTCTCTCAGGATTTGTACTACATGTGATGAAAATGGAAATGTAAAATAATTGAAGTAGGGATTTAGAGATTTGATACATCAAACTTCTAATAAAAATGGCACAAATGGGACTCATCATGCTGTGGTTACATATTAAATCTCATTTGATCGATTTTGCTGTTTTCCAAATTGCAAACATAAGTAGAAGCTTGTAATTAGAGTTATATTGATTCATCATTAAGATTTAATCAAGCTGCAGCTACAGAGAACGGATATTATTTTGGCAGCATTCTTTTGTTTCCAAGTTGCTTTTACAGGCTGCAACAAAGTAACTGTAGATATTCTCAATACCAATAAAATACAGCATTATTTCTAAGGAATCTTCAACACGACAAGTTTATACCTAAAAATGTGTTAAAGAATATTGCACTAAATCATTTCTTGTTATCCCTAGGTTTCTATAATATTCTCTTTATTACGACAGTCATTGTTTTACCTTTTATTAGTATCTGTTTGCAATACATGATGTTGACATTCCTTGTGTAGAATTGGGATATGAACACAACCCAAATCCTCCTTTCCTCTTTTCCCTTCCCCTTCCCTTCCCTTTCCATTCCCTCCATCTTTTGATTCATTTTCCATTTAAGAAAGAGCTAGCCTCTCTACTTCCTATTATCTATCTTTTATTTTGTTCTTCATTTATAATTTGGGTATCTCATATCAGCAAAACAATGCAATATTTAAGCCTGTGCATCTGATTTATTTCACTTAACACTATGGTCTTAAGATATATCCATTTTTTTATAAGTTATTCAAGTTTATCATGGTTTATAACACAGTAATACTTCACAGTAAAAGAAAATACTACATTTTCTTTTACCATTGGTTTGTTGATAGCATATAGGTGGCTTTTTCAAGATTTAGCTATTATGTACTGTGCTGCTATAAACAATATGTATATGCATGTATTGCTATAATGCAGTCTTTTTTTTTTCTTTTTTTTTTGAAACAGGATCCTACTATGTAGTGCAGGCTGGCCTTGAACTTGCTTATGTAGCCATCACTGGCCTTGAACTCATCATGATCCTCCTGCCTCAGCCTCGCAAGTGTTGGGATTATAGGTGTGTGCCACCGTGCCTGGCTATGATGTCTTTAATTCTTTCAGGAAGACACCTAGAAGGGTGTCTTCCCCTTCTAGGGGGAATAGCTGGGTCAAACAGAATTTCTAGTTCTATTTTATTTTTTTTTTGAGGAATTGCCATACTGATTTCTGTAGAGGTTGTACCAGTTTACATTCCCATCAATAATGTAAAAAGGTGCTGACCACTGGCAACAAAAAATGTCTATCCTCTATTCCTTTTCATTTAACACAGGAAAATTTATTTCTTCTAAATTTACCTATTTCTTTCTCTTCTTTTTAGCAACCACATTTGCATGAATCTGAAACAAAAAGTTTATGCTCTAAGAAACTGAAGAGGCTGCTAAAACAAGAAGAGGCTGAAATGTATATTTCCTGAAGCATTTGAAAAAACATTTTGCAGAGCTTGAGGAAATTTAACTAAATTCAAACATTATTGGAGCACAAAACCAACATTCCACAAACTTCATAAACTTTGCAACATAAATGAATTTAAAATCAATTATTTTATGTGCTCGCTTTGGCAGCACATACACTAAAATTGAAACAATACAGAGAAGATTAGCATGGCCCCCGCACAAGGATGACGTGCAAATTTGTGAAGCATTTCATTTTTTAAAAAATGAAATGTGAGAAGAAGTATTCAATCAATGTACCTGAATCATGGAAACTATAAACTTAACACTGAGTCTTTCCACTCACGGATCCTGGATACCCAAAAGAAACAGTGGTAAGAATGTCCTAGCACCGTGTGTTAGCTCCAGTTTTATGGATATGTATTTCCAAAGTCTAATGCCTACCTTCTCCATCCCCCCTGCCCACAGTTCATACACATTATTACATTTATAAGGATCCAATTCTTAAAAATATTAAAGATATTACAAGTAATAGAATGTACAATGTCTTTTAAAAATTAAAAAGTTTAGCATTAACAGCTACTATTTGCCTTACCTTATTCTATCACTTTATATTTTCTTGCAAAGTTTAAGAGACAGAAAGCATATCAACTGACATACAAACATATATATATACAATGGGAAAATACCAAAAAGGTCTGGAAGTCACCTTTCTTCCCTGTCAATCATCAAAATTTCAACAATTCGGGCTGGGGATTTAGCTCAGTGGCATGAGCACCTGCCTTGCAAGCAGGCAGTCGTGAGTTCGATCCCTGGTATTGATAAAAAGGAAAAAGACCAAAAAAAAAAAATTTCAACAATTCAAATTATCATATCAACAGGAAGAGACTTTTCTTAGAATTAAGACTGTTTCCTACCTCGTTCCAGTTCTCCTGGATTTTCTATATTCAACCTAATATATTTTCATCTAATAAAACCAAAATTCACTTCATTTCCTGAAAATAACCTTTCCTTTTCTTTTTTTACTGTTCTGAGTGCTACAGCTCAAAGCAGGCCCTAGTACAAGAAAAGTACATTATCGTGAAGCAACAGTCACAACCCCTAAAATAATTTTTCACAAATTATCTTACTTCCCAACTCTCATGAAGCCATTACTATCTTGCTATCAAAATCAGCAAAAGACACCCCCCCAAAAAGAAACTACAATCTGATCTCTTGTAAATAAGCAGGAGTTTTCAACTCTCAACAAATTTTGAGAACTTTTTCTCATTTATAAGAGATCAGATTGTACTTTGCAAGATAGTACTGGCTTCCTTAGAAGAGTTGGGAAGTGCTGGAAAGATAATTTCTTTAAAATAAAATCACAGAATAAACTAGGGATGGAAGACAATTTCCAGCCTCATAAAGGATATCTATGGAAAATTCACATCTAACATCACACCTGTAGGAAGAATAAATGCTTTCTCCTCAAGAACAAGAACATCTGTTCTCACCACTGGTGATAAACATCATACTGGGGCTCTCGCCAAGGCAATTAGGCATGGAGGAGGGCAAGGCACATAGATTAGAAAGGAATAAGGAGAAATGAGATGGCATGAGTTTATATATCCCAAAAGCTCCAGAAAAAACTTTTAGAATTAATGAGTTCAGCAAAGTTACAAGATACAAGGTCAATTTACTTCTATACATTAGAAGTGAATTAACTGATGATGAAATATTTAAAAATTAATTTACAATTAGCATCAAAAATAAATTAGGAGCTGGGCACATGATGGCACATGCCCACAACCCCAGGACTCTAGAAGCCTGAAGAAGGCGGATTAAAAGTTTAAAGCCAGCTTGGGCAATTTAGCAAGACCCTGTCTTAAAAACTAAAATAAAATGAATAGAGATGAAGCCCTGAATGAAGGTCTTGGGTTGAATTCTCAGTCCCTAAATACATAAGGAATAAATTAGCAGAAGTATCAAATTTTACACTTTAAAAAGTACAAAACATTGTTGAAGGAAACTGAAGACCTAAATAAATGGAAAGACATATGTATACATGAATTGAAAAACAATATTGTTAAGATGGCAATATTCCCTAAATTAATTTATACATTCAACAATCCCTTTCAGATCTCCCTCTGCCTTGTGTGAAGAAATGTACAAATTATTGTAAAAGACACATAGAAACACAAAGGACATAAAAGAGCCAAAACAATGTTGAAAAATAACCAAGTTGGAAAACTCACACTGATTTCCATACTTACTACAAAGCAACAACAGTCAAGGTAGTCATAAGGGCTGTCACACAGAAGGGATAAAACTGAGGGTTAGTTTTTAGTAGGAGGATCCACTTGTGAGAAACCACCTTTTCAACAACAGGAATGGTACAACTGGATAATCACAAACAAGAGAATGAAGCTGAACCACAACCTCACACCACATACAAAAATAAAATGAATCAAAATCATACATAAGTTGGGCTGGGGATTTAGCTCAGCAGCTTAAGTGCCTGCCTTGTAAGTGAGCAGTTGTGAGTTTGATCCCCATCCGGTACCAAAAAAAAAAAATAAAATCACACATAAACATTAAAACTTTGAAGCCAAGAAAATCCCAGTGTTTACCTTCATGATCTTGAATCAGTCAACAGTTTCTTAAATATGAGAAATAAAACATCATCAAAATTTTAAAAAAAACTTGTTTCAGAACACACTATTAAGAAATTGAGCCAAACACAGTGGCAGATATCTGAAATTCCAGCACTGAAGAGAGGCTGAGACAGGAGAATCAAAAGTATGACTCTCACCTGGGCAACTTAATGAGCCCCTGTATCAAAAAAAAAAAAAAAAAAAAAAAAAAAAAGGATTAGGGGTATAGCTTAGTGCAAAGGCCCTGAGTTCAATCCTCTGCACTACAAAGCAATTAAAACAGCTAGGATATAGTTCAGTGACACAACACCACTAGGTTCAATCACCAGTACCACAAAAAATTTGTAAAAGGTGGAAAGACAACACAAGGAACAAGAGCAAATATTGGAAATTGTGTGCCTAAAAAGGGATTTGTATTGCACATATGTAGAAGGTATAAATAAAAAACAATTACAGCTCAGTAACAGAAAGACAAAATAATTTTAAACAGTAAAGGACACGAATAAGTAGTTCCCCTCAAAAGATATGAAAGTAAGTCACTAAGAATGTGAAAAGATGCTGGACATCATTAGTTACTAGAAAAATGCAAATCAGTACGCTACTGATAAATAGCCACTAGATAGCTGTAACTAAAGACAGACAGCAAATGATGATAAAGATGTGGAGAACCTGGAACACATGGTGGGAATGCAAAAAGACATTCACTTCGCAAACATCTGGTCAGTTCCAAAAGATTCAGCAAAACAGAGTCGCCATATGACCAGCAATACACCCAAAACAAGTAAAGGCATGCTCACACAAGAACTCGTACATGAATATTTGTAACAGCATTACTCACAATGATCAAAAAGCAGAAAAAACCTGAAAGTCATTCATTGATAAGCAGACAAAAAACATTAGTACATCCATGTAATGGAATACTTGGCAAAAAAAAGGGAAAAAAAAGGAAATGAAAGACTGACATCCGCCAACCATGGACAAATCTGGAACATACTCTGTCAACTGAAGGAAAACAAGCACCAAAAGAACACATATTACAGAATTCCATTTATATGAAATGGTCAACTGGCAAATTCATACCAGTAAAAACAGACCAGTGGCTGTGAGGCAGGGGAAGGTTGCAGTGAAGAGGGGAATAACTGCAAATAGACCAGGCCTTCTTGCGGGCTAATGAAAATGCTTTAAAGTTGACTTGTGAGGGTTACATAACTGTGAGTAAACTAACAATCACTGCACTGTACATTTTTAGTGGGTAAATTATATGGTATAAAAATTATATATCAATAAAATTGTTATTTTAAAAATTATCTTCTTAAAATTAATATTTACTTTTATTTTTCTATTAAGATCTCCCTTTTTCTTTTTTTTGTCTTTTTCCTTTTTTTTTATCGGTACCAGGGATCAAACTCACGACTGCCTGCGAGGCAGGCGCTTATGCCGCTGAGCTAAACCCCCAGCCCCAAATCTCCCTTTTTCTTAATCGCAATTCACTTAACCAAATAATGTTAGGCTATAAAACTGTTTATAGGTTGCTGTACAAATTTCCTAGCAGAATAAAAATACACAGGAAAAAAAACTACTATGTGATTATTTTTTACATTAATCTGAGAAAGGCTTTCCAAGTTGGCTTTCCAAGTTTTCTAATGTAAACACAGCACTGCTTTTCTAATTAGAAAAAAAAAGATGTTGCTTTATTCTTTATATTATGACTCCTTCTTTGATCTAAACACATAGTATAGACAGCCTGGCTTTTTTTTTTAATTGTTTCCATTTCTGTTTCAAAATGATCTGTATAAAACTGCCTCTGTAGCATTTGTTGCAGCTCATTTTGTAGACTATGGGGTTGTTTTTATTAACTTTCAAAGTATTTTTGAAAATGCATACTTTTAACTGATGAGCACAGAATTCTATATACATCCATTAGACCAGTCCATCGTGGTATTTAAATCTTCCATGGCCTTTATAAGTTTACGCCTGTCAAGTCTTAATGCTTTCAGGCAGAGAAGTGACTTTCTTCAATAAGGCTATGGTTTGATTTTTCCTTATCATTTTGTCATGTAATCAGAGACTGTTATTGGTACAGCTCCGGGCTTGTTACAGCTCTCAGGAGAAATGTTCCCGGTATCATTATACACTGGTCTTTTCTGTTTTGTTTTGTTTTGTTTTGCCTTAAGTCTTTTTTGCCCAATACTAACATTATTCTAGCAGCTCTATTTCAGTCAGTTTCTGTATTCATTAGAGTTTCATAAGAGAGGCAAAACCACTGTAAGTACTGATAAGAGAGATTTATAAAAGAGATTTACCAACAATCAAGGGAGCTGATCAGGCAGTTTGTATGGTACTGCTGCTTCTGTGTCCATTGTTGGAACAGAAACCAGAGGACAGGTAATCAAGAAGGAAAGATGGTGATAAAATGGAGAAAAACAAGGAAAACTCAAACAGAAAAAGTGGTAACTCAGTTCACAAATGCTTTTGTTTGCAAACAATTTGATTCGCTAACAGAAACGTTTGGAAAAACACTGTTTTGTTGGCAAACTCTACATCAGGTGACAAACACGACAGCAGCCATCTTAACTACACAAGCACAAACCTGGCCAGAGTTTTCAAAATCACAGAACAAATAAGTTTGTAAACTAAGGTACCACTGCACCTATTTCTCACCAACCTGTAGGAGGCAAACTATAGTAAAGATTTGCACCTTTCACTGCAGAGCCTACATACTTGACCAGAATTTGGAGCAGCTATAGGAAAGGATGGGTCCTTAAGAAACACACCATATAGGGGCTGGGGATTTAGCTCAGCAGCATAAGCACCTGCTTTGCAAGCGCATGGTCGTGAGTTCAATCCCCAGTACTGATAAAAAAAGAAAAGAAAAGAAACAAACACACCATAGGCCAACACAGAGAGCCAACAGAGCTCGGCAGGAGCTGCAACAGTGTCCAGCCCTGCATATGGAGCACAAATGCAACCACTGCTCCCCGTCTACTTTATGAATCTTCTGCCAATCTCTCTGTGGATGACTTAACTTTAAACTATCCTGTAAAAGAAATCCTGGGACAAGCAGCTCCAACTCAGTTGTGTTGACATAAAACCAACACAATTTACAAGGATTTTTTTCTCCCATCTCTTTGTTCTATGTAATTATTACTTAGAACTGCCCCTTGCACATAGCATACAACTGCATTTTTCTTGCAAGACTTTAGTTTTTATAATTTGTCATGTTTAATCCAGTTACATTTTTGAGATTTATGACTTTCATAATTTAAAAAAAATTTTTTAATGACATACATTTCACCATAAAGAAATAAATATTGAGGTAATATGCTTACCCTGATTTAAACATAATACAATGTATACATGTATCAAAATATTATATGGTACCCCCAAAATACATTTATTTCTATCTTCTTATATCACTTAAAAATGAATTTAAATTTAAACAATGAATATTTGCACCAAAAACGTATGTACCATTTGCATTTCTGAGGTATTTCATAAATATAACTTGTTACTTACCACTTCTCCCGCAGAGGCAGCCAACATATGTTTCATAGGCATCCAATATGAAGATGTATCAATGTGCAAAAACCATTTCACATATTCATAGGTGAGGAAAAATGCAGCAGCTAAAAGTTTAAACAAGCCAGTATTTTACAAAGTTAAAATATATATAAAACTATTTCTCAAAAAAGTCTGACAGTATGTAAACTGTGAGATAACAGAGATAATAAACACATACTTTTTTTTTTCTATCGTCAGACTCTATTTCAAAATTTATACATCCCACATTATATGCCTAAGCCTGGACTTAAAAAAATACAGAAACACGTTGCCTGTCCTGAGAGAGCTTATCAGCTAACTTAGCATTTCCTATGCTCACTGGCAAGTTACTTATTACCATTGTGTAGGTTCTGTGTTTTGTTTTTTTTAAGGCAGGGTCTTTCTAGGGAATTCAGGATGCCCATGAACTCACTACACAGCCCAGGATGCCTTCAAATTCATAGTGATCCTCTTGTCTCATCCTCCCAAGTTCTGGGATCACAAACCTGAACCACCACACTCAGTTAATCAACTTTTTAGAACAGGATGTAGGTTTTTATGATCCAAACTATCATTACATATGACCTAAAACAATCATCTACACTGATTTTTAAATGTTAAAACACACATATGTGTGTGTACACACACACATCTTAACTTAAATAGCCTATGCTATGTTTTATTGATGGTTACTCAAAATAACCATGGTTATTTTTACTACATCAATTTAAAAAAACCAATCACTATTTAATTAAAACTAGAAATCAAAATCTCAAAAAAGCTACCTATATCACCATGAACTAATCATAACTGCACGAGGGCTTTAAAATTTGCTAATAAAAAGTTACTTATCATTGCCATAAATGATTAGGCATAAAAGATAAAGAAATGACAAATTTATCTTTTGAAGAACATTAGAACATATCAGAGTCAAGTCTGAAACACTCAGGAAAACAGCCTGATAGTGAAAATCAGTTCTTTAGTCATAAAAGCTTATAAAGGATCCTTGGCTGCTAACAAATATGTGCTGGGCCAAATAAGGAGATCCGTTGTTTACAGATGGGTAATTACCAATTTGGCAGTGTGTTATATAGCAAACACAGTTTAGTCCTACGTGTGATTCTTCATGTAGCTCTTCCCACTCAGGTCCACTCACTAATGGACACTAATGGACAGCTATATCTCTAAGGGCAGTCAGCTGTATGCTTTGCAGATACATGCATTCCATGCCCACCGCATCCCCACTCTGGGGAAGAGGAGAAAGTGTCAAGTCCCTGGGTTTTCAGGTCAAAAAGTGTAAGCTTATGTAACTTGCTATGTATTTTTGTGGGCTTAAGAATGTAAGTTCCAACCCCACTCTTGCTCTAATAGATAAGAGTCCAAAACGGCTCCACCGATTAAAAATGATGATACTGATTCATGGACCAAGAGGGGAGAGAACCAGGCCTCAGGAGGAGGTGATTGCTGCCTGGAAACCAGCGCCTCATCTCTGGCCTGGCCGCTTCTCAAGTGGGGGCAACCACACCCAAGCTTCTTTCCATGAGTCAACGCCATTCGCAGACTACAGGGGGAAAGAACCAGGCCTCACCAGGAGGAGATCCCTACATAGAAACCGTATCAATTTCATCATTTTCTAGGGTTGGGCTTTATTCTCCTGTTTACACTAAATCTGATGGCATGAGCAGCTATTTAAAAGATAACAAGACATATTATGGTAGCCATTTTGGATTTATTAGCTTATTTTGAAGTCCATTATTGCATTTATTGTTTTTGCTTTATTCTGTTCTGTTCGATTTTTACTATGTCCAAAGGTGTCTGCAGCTATTTTGAATACAACAAGAGGCATTATGGTAACTATTGCTGATTTTGTAAGTTTCTGAAGTCCTGTATCACCTATACTGGTTTATCTTGATTGGTTTTATTGTTTTATTTTCCTTGGTTTTATCCTCTTTAAAATAAAATTTAAAAAATTTTTTAAAAAATGATGGTACTGTAAGTTTCCAATGAGTTTCTGAGCAAGTTAAAGCAAAGTAGAAAGGCTGGGATAATTCCTGCACTTTTCTGGTCCAAAATAAAATGGAAAAAACTATGCTCTCTTGTCGGTGTCGCTCCCGGCCGGCAGGAAGAACACGCAACAATATCTGGCAGTGGCTGGGCTTTCTTTATTTTCCCTCTCCGCACAGTCTGCCCCGGGAATCCTCCCGGCCGAAGCCTCTGTTGGTCCGCTCTCCGCGGCTCCTCCCGTGCTTCTTCTCTACAGTCTGTCCCGAAGCCTCTACGGGTCCGCTCTCCACGGCTCCTTCCGTGCTTCTTCTCTACAGTCTGTCCTGAAGCCTCTACCGGTCCGCTCTCCACGGCTCCTTCCGTGCTTCTTCTCTACAGTCTGTCCCAAAGCCTCTACCGGTCCGCTCTCCGCGGCTCCTTCCGTGCTTCTTCTCTCGTGGCGGGAGAGGCACTCACTTTTATAGGGTTACAGTGGCCAATCAGTTCAAAGTGCGCGATGCGGGCTGATTGGCTAACATCAGTTGTTGCTAGGCAGACTATCTTACAGGGCGGGTTGTTTACCAAGCAGGAAGCAGGAGACAAGCGCCATCTTAGCACACTCGATGGGAGGGGTAATCTAGCTCAGGCTTTGCTCTTTCTTACAGGCCTCACGTCCGCCAAGTAAGGCGACCGGGCTCGGCCGCGGCTCCCAACACTCTCTCTCCATTCTTATCTAAAAAGGGAACAAGGCCCCTTCATTTTTTTTATTTTGACCTTCAGTCTCCTTCATCCTAACCACTCACCTCTGTAGAATCCATTCTCAAAAAAGTCAGATGCCAAAAGAAACACAGGGAGAGCAGATCAAGAAACAAGATCCATCGATACATCATATACAAGAAACACATTTAACTTGAAAGGAAATTCATAGACCGAAAGTCAAAGGAGAGAAAACAATGTCCCTTGTGACAGGAAACCAGAAAAAAAGCAGGGATGGCTTGCCCATCAACCGCAGAATAGTTAAGAAAGATACGGTATTTTTATACAATGGAAATACTCAGCTGTAAAGGATAATCATGAGGCTCGTGTATGTAAATGGATGCAGTTTGAGATGATGCTCATGAGTAAAATGGTTCAGACTTGAAAGAGTGAGCATTGTGTTATTTCCCTAGCATAAAAAATTGAAGGAGTTAGTGGGATCCAAAATGTACAATAGATATTGTGAAAGTTACAGGCTAGGAAACCTCTGAAAAGGAATAATTTCCTATTATCTTGTTTTGAATTCCTGTATAATTTCCAGTATTTTGTTATTTTTGGTTTTAGTCTATCTTGTTTTGTTTGATTTTATTATGTCTGATGGTATGGGTAGCTATTTTGAAGATAACAAGATATATTAATGGTAGTCACTCTTGATCTCCTTTTATCTGGTTTTGAAATACTATAATGCTCTATTTTGATTGGTTTTATTCTGTTTTGTTTGGTTTTATTATGTTTGATGGTATAGCTATTTTGAAGAAAACAAGAGATATTATGATAGGCATTGTTGATTTCCTATTATCTTGATTTGAAATTCTGTATTGCTTTCATTGTTCTGTTCTGATTGGCTTTATTCTAGTTCTTTTTTGTTTGTTTGTTTTATTTTCTTTAACAAAAGTCACCAGCCATTGTGATTACAGCAATGTTCTATCTTTAGACTAGAACCTTAACCAACAGTAAAAGAAAGAAAAGCTCCAAAGTGAACTGGGCACAGAGGCACATGCCTGTCATGTCAGCACTGAGGGAGGCTGAGGCAAGAATATCCCAAATTGAAGTCTCACCTGGGCAACTCAGTGAGACACTCATCTCAAAATTTAAAAACAACAACAATAACAAAAGGTTGGAGATGTAGCACAGTGGTACAGAGTCTCTGGATTCAATGTCCAGGATCATCAAAAAAAGAGGAGGAGGAGGAAGACGAGGGGAGGCAGCAGCAGCCAGTACCTCCACTTTGGTGTCATTCAAAATTTGTAGAAAGACAAAATCATTTCTGAATCTCTACAATCTGAATTATTGCTCTGCAGCTTCTAGTTCTGGGAGTGGTCAAAAAGGAAAGTAAAGCCGGGTGCAGTACCTCACTCCTGTAATCCCAGCACTTGGGAGGCTGAGGCAGGTGGATCACTGCAGGTTTGAGACCAGCCTGGGCTACAAAGTGAGCCCAAGGCCAGCCTGAATGGCATAGTGAGACCCCATCTCAAAAAGACAAAAAAAAAAAAGGAAAGGAAAGCAAGACCACCACCACTTTCACATGTGCACACACAGGTACACACACACACACACACACACACAGAGAAAATCACATTCTATATCTAACCTCCTGGGAGAAGCATAACAGCCCTATGATCTTAATGATAGCAGTGTATGCTATATTTAATATTACACCTACTCACAATAATCCTTATGTGCAATATGCAAAAGAAAAGTATTGGCAGAAAACTGAGTCTACATGAAGGCAAAATCTTTAAAACCAGTCACCAAAACAAAAGGATTTAGTGATGTATGCTTGGGTAATTCCTTAGCTCCAAGGTTCTCCGCCTAGTTTACATCCTGAAATCACTTTTTAATTTTTTAAAACTGCCAATGCCCAGGACACATCTGACAGCTTAAATCATGTCTCTAAAGGCTGGCCACAGGCATCTGCACTTAGGCTCCTTATGATCAGGTCATTCCAATGCAGACAAATTTGGTTCAAGTACATACCCTCTCCCACACTTAAACCATGCTTTACATAGTGGGCAGTCAGTAAGAACTTGTTATAACAAGTTTTTGAGAGCTGTTACAGTTTGTGTCTAGATGTCTCCCCACATCCTCATGCAGACATAAAGCTTTTCCAGAGGTGGCTGAATGTACGATGCTGGCACTAAGGGTGTGTGATTAGTAAATCAGTCTACTGATTGGTTTGGCACAGTTCTGGCTAGGATTAAGGGCATGAGTGCTACACCTGCTCTAAGGTGGGTAGCCTGAATAGAACATAAGGGGAAGAAAGAGTCTCGTCAGCCCTCTTCTGCTGCTTTTGTCTGTTTTTGCTACCATCCACTGCCATGAATCTCTTCCATGTGCCACCCTGCCTTGGAATCAGCCAATTATGGACTGAAATGTCTACAAACTGTGAGCTAAATAAACCTTTCCTCCTTTAACTCTGGGTGTTGGGTATTTTGTCTCACCTATGAGAGAAAAGTAACTGAGACAAAAGTACTGAGACATGCAAAAGTTCAAGGATAACCCCAAAATAGTTTGCTGTTCTACAGACTGTTGGTAGAAGGGGGAGAGAAAGAGATAAAACAAAAAGACAGAAACATTATTTTTCTCTTTCTAAATCTTATGTGAAATCTATACTCAAAGATTGGGCATATATAAGTGTCAAGTTACCATAAAAAACTTCCCAAGAAATTCCAATGTGCAGACAAACTTCAGAACTACAGCTCTAATCAAATGGGCATTAAAATAAAGTCTTAAGGATTCTGAATGGGACTCAACACCAAAACCACTGTTTAAAGATCATTCATTTTAATTACAAGCATACTGGAATGGAATCTACATATCCAAAAATAATGAATTAAAGAGAAATTAAATTCAGAAAATAAACTTCAACACATATATACAAGTATGAAAATAAATTCCACTATCTTGACTTTATAACAATGAAAAATATTAATACAGTATTTACCATTAGGAAAAGATCCAATAGCAGTAGACGGTACACCAGCATATATGCCACGAAAACCACCAGCCTTTTTAAATCCTTGTGGACTCTGAAGCCTGGTTTTAATGGTATCCAGAGGAAATAGTATCAGGTCAACAGAGGCACCTGCCACCCCACCAGCCTTCAAAAAAAGAGGAGGAAAGAAATTTTAAAAAGATTACAATAAAATAAGCACTAAAAGATTACAATAAATTAAGCACTAAAAAGAATACAATAAAATAAGCATTAAAATAAGGAAGAAAAAAGGCTTTAACCCTGTGAAGGTCCATGGATCAGGTATTACCCCTTAACACAGGAGACTTTGTTGTGTTTTTTTGTTTGTTTTTGGTACCACAGATGTAACTCACAACCTCACATTTGCCAGGCAGGTGCTTATACCACTAAGCTAAATCCCTAGCCCTACAGATTTTGTGACTCTCAGATCAGCATTGCTTCTGAAGACAAACATATTTCTCTTATCTTTTAGTCTGAATTTCTTCACAATAATCCAAGGACTATCTTATCTTACTCCAGAGATTTTCATAGGTAAATAACTATAATTGTGCTGCATTTGCAAACTATAAATTTTGTATTAAATGTAATTTTTAAATAATTTTTTAAACAAACTATAATTTTTTTTGGTACCAGGAATCAAACTCAGGGCCTTGCACTTTGCCAGGCAGTGCCTGTGCTACTGAGTTATATCCTCAATTCTATACTTACTTTTATTTTTTTTTTTTTTTTGTCTTTTTTTCCATTTTTATCGGTACCGGGGATCGAACTCACAACTGCCTGCTTGCAAGGCAGGTACTTATGCCGCTGAGCTAAATCCCCAGCCCCACTTACTTTCAAAAAAACTTGGTGATACATGCCACTGTGGAACGCTGAGACAGGAATATGAGAAGCCCAAGCCCAGCCTGGGCAGCTGAGCACTTAGCAGAATCCTGTTTCAAATAAAGGGTTTTGGATGTAACTCAATGCGAAAGCCAAAGGTCAAAAATATTTGAAATTAATTTTTAATATATTCACATCTCAAAAAATCTTTTTAAAGAAAAAATCTTAATGGGACTTTGTCTCAAAAAAAAAACAGGGATGGGCTGTAGCTCAGCACAAAGCCCAGGATTCAATCCACAACACTGCACATAGACTTATGCCAATGAAACCTCAGGGCATCAAAAAGATAAAACAGTATTGTATCCTAACAATTCAAGAAGTCATTTTTATTGATTTTTTTTGTTGCATCCTTCCAAAGTTACTTTAAGGCACATAACAAGAAAATATAAATATACATAATAGAAGTTGGCATAAAACATGCGCTACCCTAAATACTTTTTAAAGAATTTATATTGGTGACTTTTCTATATTGGACCCAGTGTTCCATTTCTGTCTTTGTAACAACTGGTAGTGAATCTATATTAAGACTTTTTATTGAGACCTTTAATTTGAAACAGCTAATAATCCTTATCCATCTAGAGCTGCACTTTAGGAATCACAGATCTAAACATTCATATAGTATTTTTCTACTGCACATTATATATAGGAATTCATTCATAATTTTAAAATGAAGTGAATAAAAGAACATTTTTAAAAAAAGAAACAGGAAAATATCAACACAAAGTGTCAAAAAAGAGGTCAATACACAGTAACTAAAGGCATCGTTTTACAGATATGAATCAAAACCAGATTATAATTAGCAGATGGCAAAAATGTGCAAAGAAAAATGCAGTATATGGAATTTTATAAAGGAATTTTAACTAACTTCTTAACTTCTGAATTCTGATGATATGAATATATTACCCCTTCAAAATATAAAAATTTAAGCTAAGAAATTATATATTCTATGTCTGTTGTAGTCAGGGGTTGTGAGAACAATTAGATTCAGGACACAGAATTTATAATATTATTTTATGATGGTCACCTGGAGTTTAACACAAGAAAGTGCAGGAATTCTCTCCATAACACTAACGACCCAGAATATTCATCCAAAGGCCTGAATCCCACAGCAATGTCCTGCATGAGTCCAGATGAAAACCTAGAGCCCATGACAATGCCTTCCATGAGTCTAGCTGCAGGTCTAGAGCCCACGAGAAGGATTCACACCAATCTCTTTTACGGATCTGTGCTGGGAAGGCCCAAAGGTCAGCAGTGGAAGCTAGAAAGTCTATGCCAGCAGGGTGAAGGAGCTGTGCTAAATGAGGGTTGTATGCTGGAGCCAAAAATTCATGCTCAAAATAAAGACCAGGGCTGTCCTGAAAAGTATCACAGCCATTCTCAGTAACACGGAGGTCCCAAGCTCCTCTGATAAGAACAGTTCAGTACGTGCCAGAAAGCCAGCATGACAAGTTTCTCCTGGAGATTAAACAGCACACATCTTCCCCTCTGAAGCCAGGAAGCAATGCTCAATGTAAAGACCAGAGCTCCCCCAAAGTGAACCACAGCCACTCTCACTAACCAGGTCCGGGCTCCTCCAATGACACCTCACAGTGAAGAAGCTAGTCATGATGAGCTCCTCCAGGAGAACCAATGACTAGAAACAGCAACAGTTAGAGAAACACACAATGCTCTCTCTTCTTTTCCAACTCTCTGTTTATGCTGGCAATTTTCCTCAGGTGGGCCATCTATGCTCAGCACCATGCTGATTTAATTCAACTGGTGTTAAGTCGTTTTTAATCAGTTTTTAATCCATAACAATGCCACAGGAAAAGAATAATCAGTACTATTCAAATACACAGCAAGTTCAAATTCAGTTATTTCTATCCTTTGAATTCACAAAATTCTCAAGTAGTGCAAAGCTTGATACCTTGCAAATAATTACTTCTCCATAAAACCACTGCAAGAGTTAACTGGAAAAATGAAATACTCTGAGAAATACAATAATGCTTACTTTTAATCAACACAGGTGTATTATTAAAAATACTTTACTAGAACAGTATACTATCATAATTAATAATACTACACAATCAACTTGAAAGACATGAAAGACTTTCAATGGCCACACAGCACTCAGCACATAATTTAAAAAGATGTCACCTAAAAGAGCAAGAGATGTGCTGAGAGAGTGGCAAGTGATACTAAAAGAATAACCAGGTTCCAAGTGCAGTGTGTCAGGTACCCACAGTGCCAGAATATCCTGGAGCATGACCTCAGTTCAGGAGCTCAAGAACAGGCTAGGTGACTACCATGAGACTCTATCACAAAAATAGAGAACAACCAGTAATGTGGATTTTCTTCCTGGATATAAAGTCAGCCTTTCTCACTCCTTGGCAAAAGTTCAGCAGTAATATAGGAAAATGAAAAAGCCACATTTTGACATTTTTTACATTTGTTTTTTAAAGCATTTTTATAGAATTAAAGTTAGTAAATGAAATATTTGCCTACTTTTAATACATAAACCTAATGTGAATGTCTAATGTAATTTTAAAATAATCTGTACTTTGATATTCTCTTCATTCTTAAATAATGATTCAGAAAAATGCTATCTAAACATTCATATAGTATTTTTCTACTGCACATTATATATAGGAATTCATTCATAATTTTAAAATGAAGTGAATAAAAGAGCATTTTTAAAAAAAGAAACAGGAAATTAGGTAATAAAACGTCCTCTAAAGACTCACGCATTGAGGGCCTGATCCCCAGTGAAGCAAGGTTCAGATGTAGGGTCCAGAAAGCTAAGCAGATCACGAGGACACTAACCTTATAAATGGATTGATTAATCCCTAATTCTTTATTTCTCTCTCCCTCCAAGCACTGATCAAAATTTTAATGACACAGTTGAGCACTATTTGTTCAATGTCTGTCCTATTAGACTCTAAGATCTATATTTTGTTTACCAATGCTCCTTGCATCAGCACATAGGAGCCTCTCAATGACTAGGAAAAGAGTTATTAAGAAAGTACTGCAGATCAACCTTTAAAAAACTATTTTTTAAATAGTAAAAACAAGATTAAGTGACTCCCCAAAGAAAAATATAAATAAACCAGGTATGGTGGCATATCTCTCTAATCCTGGCTGTTTGACAGACTGTCTATAGGAGCACTTGGGCCTAGGAGTTCAAGGCTAGCCTGGGCAACACAGCAAGGCACTAGCTTTCTAAAAGGAAACAAGAAAAAAATAAAGAAAAACATAAATGGCTATAAAGATATGAAAATATGTTTTCCTATTATTGATGATCAAATAAAAATATATATTTCCCTAGAAAAAAACAAAAATTATGAATACTCGTAAGCACTCATACTAGAAACATAATCTACTGGAAGACAATTTGGCAAGCCTTTTGATCTAGTTATTTTGTTCCTAAACATCACCTCCACAGATATAAGTTCACAAATATACAAGGTATCGGCTAGAGCTTTGTTTATAATATTGAAAAAACTAAAAACAACCTAAAAATCTATCTAAAGGGGTCACGTTAAATAAATTATGTTGTATTCTAATAATGGATTAGTATATAGCTTTTGAATGCCGTGATACTTGGGATAGAATGCCTCAAATTATATGGTTGCAGTCATAAGAACAGATAGGGTTTTCACAAGAATATGTGAGTATATAGGGTACTTAACTAGCAAAAAAACAAAAGAGATGATTGCTTCAAACAATTCATCCCATCCTTCTCACCACTTTCTCAAGCAGTTCTGGAGGCTCTTTTTCCTGTCTGTCTTTATAAAGTGTCATAAAAAATACATGAATGTTGCTTCCAGGCACCATCCAAATGTAAAGATGTTACAGTGCGTCTTTATCACCTTATTCACTGGATGAGACACCACATGACTTCTGGCTCATCCACAAAGTCAAAATAATCACGAAAGGTATGTTTTGAATGGATTCAGGATGTTAAGGCAGCTCAGACACAGAAGAGAACTTCCAGAACTGCTTCAGAAAGTGGCAAGAAGGATGGGGTAAGAGTGTTCAAAGTCAGTGGGAGTATTCTGCAGGAATTAATGGCATTCTGAGGAAAATTACTGTAAAAGTTGTTTAAATGTAAACACCAGCTTTCAATGGTACCCCACATACTCACATATTCTTATGAAAACCCTATCTTTTCTTATGACTGCAACCATGTATTTGAGGCATTCTATCCCAAGTATCAGGGCAGAGGCCAAACAATGTATCTGCTTAAACAGCTAGCAGATACATCATTTACAAAGGTGAGATCACTTTGGGCCTAACTTTTATCTTTCTTTTTTTGGCACTTTACTCAAATTTTGTTTGTGCAATAAAAATTTTAAATTATCACACTAAAAATTTCCAAGTATCCCCTCTCTTCAGTTAACAGAAAAATGAGAAAGGAAAAGTAGTTTCCCTAAATGGTGTGTTGAAGGAATAAAATGCTTTTCCTTTAGCTGAAAGGAAACCTAACTTCTTGCAACTTCCATTCATTGATTCTAATTTAACCCTCTACAAATAACACTGGAAAAAAGCTGGGAGAGGCAGCAGGGAAACAGAGCAAGCTACCAAGGACAACAAGGCGTTCATCAAAGAGCAGCACCAGTGGGTTGGGCAGCTGAATGAGCACAAATGCTGAACAAGTACAAATTCCAGGCAAAAAGGCTAAGGAAATTTTAACAAAAGAATCAAATTGCAAGGGGTTCATTATCCTGTTACATGTATAGAGATACACATGGCCAAATTCATGGCTTTACAGACCCTTCAGAATTGGTGAAAAATCCCCCAAATATAACTATCTATTCATGGGTCACTATGTAGACAGAGCCTATTATTCTGCAAAGACTGTGACTCTTATAGCATTAAAGGTGTGTTATCCAAAACGCCTTACAATATTGAGAAGAAATTATCAGAGCCAACAAATTACCCAAGTAGATGGCTTGTGTGATGAATGTTAATGACAATTTGGAAATGCAAATGTTTGGAAATATTTTACAGATGTTTGATTATCTTTCAGTTGAAGCTTTAGTAGAATAGATCTTCTTTCATGATGGCCTCTCCCCACCATAGATATATCGTATCATATAAAAGTCCTGGATCATTTACAAGGTAACTCCACATGAGGCCCAATATGTGCTCTATTATGGTCAGATGCAGATGACTGTGGTGGATGGGGTATCTTACCAACAGATACTAGCTAAACATTTTGACATTTCTGATACATTTAACTATCCCAGTGGTCTCAAACTGATTTCTTATGTCCACTAGCTTGTAATGGTTGCAATCATAAGAACAGATAGAGTGGGGCTTGGGGATTTAGCTCAGCGGCATAAGCGCCTGCCTTGTAAGCAGGTAGTCGTGAGTTTGATCCCCGGTACCGATAACAAGGAAAAAGACAAAAAAAAAAAAAAAAAAAAAAAAAACAGATAGGGTTTTCACAAGAATATGTGAGTATATGGGGTGTGACTAGTGCCATGATCAGGATGTGGTTCCTGATCATTTAATACACTCAATTATTTTTGTTATTTTGTTATTGTAGGAACCAGGCTGCAAAATGCAATTAGATGATGCCTTAAAATATTTTCTTCAGCACAACCTAGCACCTCATCATGGAGAGCCTCATGTTACCCAGTATACCCTAGATGGCTTCTCATAAATTCCTCCTGGGAAAAACTGCCTTTGTGTGTGTAAGTATAAATGGCTTAAAAAAAAAAAAAAAATATATATATATATATATATATATATATATATATAATATATATATTTAAAAATTTAAAAAGCAACAGCGGTTATTCCTGTAACAAATGGTGATCTGTTTTGGTATTAGTCCACATCTGAGCCAAAATGTGCCATAGTAATAATGAGCATTTAGAACCTTTTGAGACTGAAATGTAGTATATTATGTTCTAGATCAGTTAAACTAATAAGTTTACTAGCAGGTGCTAGTAAACTGTATTTTCTATTTCTTTCTATTTTCCTCTAGACTGATCAAGCAAAAAGGGTAACTGCTTTGTAGCTCTTTTTGTGCTTATTTGGAAGTTTTAGTTATGGTGTTTAATTGTCATGGATTAACAGAGTTAGAGTTTTACTTTTTAAGAAAAATTCACATGCTGACTTCCACTTTATTCATTGCTTTTTCTTTTACTGAAATGTGTAAACCGAAAAAAGGATTCAAAATATGACTTCCACTTAATCCATTACTCTTTATTTTACTGAAATGTATAATTAAGATTCTTCTAGGAGTATGTTGTCATAACATGAAATAGTTACCTGTACTTGGAAAAAATAAAAAGTATACTTTTCTGTATTATACCTTAATAAAGTTCATTTCTAAAGTATTCTGTTGTTAAGTCTAGCACTTACCTTTGTTTTGCAACTACTGCAGTTGCTGACTTTCGGAGATCATATTAGAACAGTTAAGAAAGTGGCCTCCAATGTTGTACCACCTTGGCTGGAACCTGAGCACCAACACTCACAAAACTGAATCTTATTTGGTTTTACATAAATTATCTAACTTCTCTGTATCCCAGTTCTAATTGAAAAACTAAAGTATAATTTCAATTGTCTGTAAGAATTAAATGGAATAATATATACAAGAATGTATTCCAGTTCCTGGCATTGGAATGTTAGTTGGTAAAACTATTGCTAATTCACTTGCTAGACAGGAAAGTTTCTTCAAAGTGGTAACATATCTTTTTATATCTCTGTAGACATCACTTACACAAGTCTCGAAAATTTTTAAATACATATGTACTAAATTTAAAGCTACCCCACAAGCCTGAATACGGTACCCATTCCTACATATATTCCCATAATGCCCTGAATATAGCCCACCTGTCAGTTACCCCAATACTCTTTACCATTTTGTCTCCAAGACCTGAGCCTGTGGGAAGGTCTATCTTGTTCGCCATTTTATCCACATATTGGCTACTTAAGTGAATAAATGCAAGGGGCTTTCATCTGCGCTGAGAGGCATTTAAAAAGTATGCGTTTAGGCAGGTGTGGTGGTGCAAGCCTGTAATACCAGCGGGCGGCGGAGGCAGAAGGATTGCTGGGAGTTCAAGTCCAACCTGAACTACATAGTGAGACCCTATCTCAAAAACAAAAATTATGCGATTATTATTTGCCTTTGCCCATTGCTCCCCAATGAAAGCACAGCCAGCCAATCACTGCTGTACCTAGTTATCCTCTGTTGTACCTGATAAAGTTCCAAAACATGTGAAAGGATTTTTTTTGTTCCTGCTTTTAGTTTTCCATGCTAGGACGTGTTGACTTCCATATTTTTATCTAAGGAATAAAACTATCGATTCCGCAACTTCTCTGTGCTCATGAATAGTTCCTCAGTGTCTAACCTTGGAGCAGAACAGATTAACTGTACACTGAATGGATGGATACAGCAGTGTCTTAAAACAGATAAAAGATATAGCAAAATGACAACCGTAATCTTGGACTGAGGGGCTGCAAGTGATCTGAGTGAGGCTTTTTTTCCTATACATATACTTCTTTAATTCTCAAATTTAAAATGACTATGATGTATAACGAAAGCTCCTCTCTCTTTATATAAACGAGTATGCAAAAGACAATGAGCTGAGCAGCCCTCGTTCCACCTTTGTGATCTGTAGCAGGTCAGACACGGTTCGGGACCAGGCACCGAGGCTGCCCGGGTCCGGCCGCGTGCTCTTTCCCAGACCTGTCAGTGACCCGGGACGCTGAACCGCGCAGAACCGGAAGAAAGCACAAGTGCAGAGAAGCCGACACAGGCGCCAATGGCGGACCTCCGCCCTCCGAGGAAACTACCCACTGCCCCTCACTCACCACCAGCGAGACCATGAACCCCGGCTGGTTCATCTCCCCGCAGAGCCGGTCAAGGTTACCATCAGAAACGGAGCAGACACTGAATCAGTCACGGCCCCGCGCTCCAGGCGCCACCATCTTTGGGGCGGGGCCCATGATGACTACTTCCGGGTCCTTTTTTACGTAAAACCACAACAACTGCACGTGTAACTCCTAGGGGCGGGGCGGGGAGGGGCCTCTGGGGGGAGGAACGGGGCGGGCCGGGACTGTGTCGGGAGGACCGGGTCTTCGGACTCATCCCGCCAGTTTTCAGATGTGTAAGCTGCTGGTCGCGAGCAAAGGATTTCCGGCTAGGCTTTAGGAGCGGAGTCAGGCAAGGAGAGTTAGGTAATTCTATCCTGTAAATTCAAAAGAAGGAACCCTAACTGGGAATGGCGGCGCTTGCCTGTAATCCCAGCACTCTGAGACTGAGGCAGGAGGATTGCCACAAATTGGGCACCAACCTGGGTAGTTAGTGAGTTCAAGGGCAGCCTAAACTACATCACAAAATAGAGACCCTCGTGAATATTCTGGAAGATCCAGGACTAGTTTCAGGAACCAACACTTGTGGTTTCCTGTTGTTCACAATCCAGTCTATTTCATTTTGATGTATCTTGGTATTAGCTCTCCAAAATGTCTGAATTTCTGCCAATTAACTCATTATTAGACAATTTAGTCGTAAATTTATTAAGTAAAATAGAAACACTGCATACATTTCTTACTTGCATTTATTTCACTTAAAACGACTTACTTGTTCAAGAGAGTAGAATAGTGGTCATTAGAGACTAGAAAGGAGATGAAGGGAGGCAATCGAAGGAGGTTAAATAGCCAACTTCAAAAATATAGTTAAATAGGGGCTGGGGATATGAATGAGTGGTAGAATAAGTGCCCATCATTTGCAAGACCCTGGAGACTTAGTTTACAATCTGTTATATATTTTTAAAAGAACTAAAGAGTTTGAAAGTTACCAAGAGAAAGAATAAATATTTAAGGAAATGAAAATGCTAACTGCTCGTTTGACTGTGATGCATTGTATGCATGTACTGAATTACCACACTGTACCCTCATAAACAGTATTAGTGTTAATAATAAAATGGAATAATTTTTAGAATTTACTTTTTAAATGTTTACTACTTTACATTGACTTTTTTTTTTTTTTTTTGAGACAGAGTCTCACTGTGTAGTTCAGGTTGGCCTTGAGTACTATGTAGTGATCACTTGCAATGATCTTCCTGAATCAACCTCCCAAGTGCTTGGGTTACAAGTGTATGCCACTATGCACAGCTATGTTGTAACTGTACATGTATCTCAAAACCCATGTTATTAAGTACCTAACAAGTTTCCTGGAGTGGACCTGCTTTTATATTTACTGTATTTATCTTCTAATTTTCCATATATATTAGGAGCTCCCTATATCTCAGATGTGATGCTAAGTGATTGATGGACACTTTCTCACTTAATCTTCACATCAATCCTGTAAGCACCACTGTCATCCACATTTCAAAAAACCCTGATGCTTCAAAGTTAAATGACCAACCCAAAATTACAGTACATACAGAGATAACACTGGAAATCTGTCTTCTGTATTCACTGTCTCCCCTTATAACACTCACAGTAGCATTAGCAGGCTCTTTTCTGTACTTTCTTCAATCCATCTTGCATAACACTGTTACAAACTGTATTCTCTCCTAGATAAGATCATCTGGAAATCATTAATAGAATAGCTGTGGGTGTTAGATGAGATTCAAATTCTGAACAATCACCTACTTGGTTTGGCCATAACTTCTCTGAGTCCTCTGCTCATAGTAAGACACAGTCTCCTCATTTTCCCCATATCGTTTTCTCTACGCAGGACCTTTTTTATACTGGCTGTAAAACATTATTCCTCTCCTGCCTGCCACGTTATCTTCTTGCAAAGGCTGTAACCATACGTGGCAGCAAGAGTCACATATTTGTGGCCACAGAAGTTCAAGGATCAGCCACATGAAGAGCCACATAATATTAAAGATCAAAGTAAGTTTATTATAAAATTACAGCAGATATGAGCATAGTCAATGTATTACCACACAGTAAGGCAAGAGACAGCACCAAAGATGAAGGGAAATCCTCTGGGGAAGGATCTTGCTTGAGAGAGTAGGTGCTTTCAGCAAGCAAGCAAGAAAATGTTGCATGTTTAGTTTTTCAGTCTCTTAAGTACTGTGTTCAGACAACAGTGACTTGGTGAATGAACGGTCAGTCCTTCGTATTTCAACAGTTAGCTCTATACATTCCTTTTTCAGGAGAGCGCCTCTGCAGAAAGGCAGCAGCCAAGGTAATTTTGGCAAATACATGCATTTTACGGACTCTCATTTTTAATGCTTTCCCAAACCTCATGGTAGTTCACTTCCTCAAAGTCAGCAGGAGAATCTTTGTTGCAGCTGTTTATGTCTTTGAAGGATTCATATAATTTAGTGTGGCCCACCCAGAATAGTGTATTTTGACTAACTCAAAGTTAACCTTATTTACTTGCAAAAATACCTTTTGTCATAGAATGCAATATATTCATGATAGCGATATTCCATAATACTCACGTTCCTGCTCACAAAGGAAGTGATTACATAAAACACATACATTTGAGGTAGGAATCTTGAGGGCCATCTGAGAATTCTGCCTACCATACTTTCCTATCAGCCTAGTCTGAATGTATCCCCCAAATTTATTTTTTGAAACTTAATTGCCAGCAAAATACTATTAATCATCAGCATCTAATGAGTTTCTATTTATCTTTCTGTTCCCAGTAGTACTACTTCTGGGCAAGGCCACCTTCTTTATTCTGCCCCATCCCCTTTTTCTCTACTTCTCAGGCCATTCTCATTCACGTTTTTACTATTACAAGTCTATTGCAGCCATCCTTTTTATCTTTTCCTCCTCTCTCCCTTACTGAGTTTCTCTGGTCTCTTTTCTACTCTTTGTCCACCCCATCTCAACATTCACATAAAAATATTCACTACCTGGGAAAGATACACTTTCCAGAGAGGCATCAGAAATGAAACAGACCCTGGCAGGCACCCTTTGTGAGGTGGGATTTGGGCAAAATTTGAGGTGTCGCAGGAAAGAAGTGTCACTTCCCACAGTCTGGAGTCAGAGGGCTACCTGAGGTGATGACCATCAAGTAAGGCTTAGAGAGTGGCAGGCCCAACAGGCCAATGATGGGGAATCTCAGATGAGTCTGGACTGCAGGATCCCAGGACCAGACGCATCTCCAGAAATCATGTACTCTGAAGGGGAAGTTGGGAGCACTGGGTGAAGATCCACTTCCACAGGTGGAATTTGACAGAATATGGAGTGAGATGACAATGAGAGTTTTAAGAATGAAGACTTAAGCCAGTGTTTCACAGTGACTTTAGCAAGACTTTTGTATCAAAAAATCCTAAGAGCTGGAGATGCAGCTCTACAGCTCATACTAAGATCCTGGATTCAATCCCAGTACTGAAGGAAAAAAAAAAAAAAAAAGGAAAACTGGCAACAGGTGGCCTCCACTAGAAGGGCCAGAATGAGATGTATTTTTAGCCAGAAATGGACTTGGAACCAGGCCCAGAAGTGGAGGGAATGGACTGGGAGCATTTTAAGGCAACACAAGACTATTGCTGGATGAGAAGATGAAAGCCAGGATTATAATCTTTGTCAGTGTGCTCAGGACTGGGTGTATAAGATGTGGTGATGGGAGTGTGCCCACAGACAGGTTTGAACTAGGAAAGAAACATTGTTCAGACAGAATGCTGTCCTCACAACTGCTTCCAGAGAGGCAAGAAACTGACTTGAGCAAGGCCTAAGTCTTCCACTGGCCATCTCACTCTGTCCTTCCTTCTTCCCTGAGAAGTCCTTCCTGATGGTTTGGTGTGCAGTGGAGCCAGCCTGCTTCCATCCTTTTCATGTTAAATGCTGCAAATAGTGCGAGATTAGAGTTATGAAGGCCATAACTGATGAATCTTGAGATGTCTTCTACTTAACAGTTTTTGTTTGTTTAAAATAGTCTTACTACGCAGTTCTGCCTGGTCTCAAATGTTCCTACCTCAGCCCCAAACGCTGGGATTACAGATGAATGACCCCAGGCCTGGCTATTTTATAAACTGTGAAGTCGAAATAGTCCTTTTTGTGAGACATAAATAAAGGATCCACTGGGAACAGTAACTTTTGGTTGGTTATGCCCATCTGTAAACAAGGAATTAAGAATAGAATTTTCTGGTTGATCCTGGGACCAGTATTAGATTCAAATGAAAGGTTAGAAATAGTGCGTTCTGATTAGCCCTGTGACCAGTACTCAGGAGCTGTAAACTTGAAGTCATTTGGGATTCCATGTTCTGCACATGCCTTCTCTATTCAGGAAACACCTTACTCAACTAGTGAACCATAGGGTTTTATGAATTCTAACAAATTTTGCCTGGTTGGTTGTCTAGTTGACCCCACCCTAACCTCCTACTTCAGCTTGACTTTCATCTTCACTGAGAGCTTTACCTGACACTGTCATCCAGAGCAGGTAAAGCTCTGATTGTGATGTCTTAACCTTGAATTGTTTATCTTTGCCTTGACCATGGTTCAGATCCACACCCTATCCCTCACTGTTAAAACGCAAACTATGAGGTCCACCAGACACTGATGTCAGTCAAGTTTCATCTCAGTTAAGGTACCCAGCTCCAGAACTGGGTTTATACCTGGTAATTACCTCACTCAGTTTTAAGTTCAATCCTGATAACTGCAGTTGGATTCAGCTAGATAACTGATTTCAGTCCCACTGTAGTACTCACCTTAAGATGATCATCTGGATTCCTTCAGCTGCATTTAGCATGTGTGATTACCTTAACCCTACAGAAAAATTCATCCCATGTGTTGGCCTCAGTCTTCCAGCAGGGATAATTCTGACAACCTTATCTGCATGGCTAGATTTTTTTCTAATGATTTCAAATCTGGACACAGAGTCATCCTTGATGATTTCAAAGTTGAAGCTGTATCAATAGTCATGACTATCTTTCCTCAAAGAAAAATTCATGCCCAGTGCTGACCTCAGCCTGCCAGAAAAATTCCAGAAATTGACAGGATTGTGCTAGCTGCATGATGTCAACTGAGGAACTCACCTCCAGTGTTGCCCTGTCTCAAAGAAGTATCAACCCCATGACCTCAGATCTATAGTTTGCCTTTGGCTTCAAAAACTGGATTCCATTTCCAGCAATTATATCATTTCCTACAAGACCCAGCTATGAGAGATTCCAAGTATGAGGCATAAAAGATGCAAAATCAAAGATAAATAAAGGAACACTTGCCAATGAAATTCTTGTATTCAGTGGCAAGAGTTAATCCCAATAAACCTTTATGGTTCTGATGCAGCTCCTCATACTACCCAAGTTCTCTCCTTTCTTACAGAGTCAAATGTACTAAAACATTTATTTCCACTTTATAAAGTCAGTTCATGCCTCATTCCCTCTCTTGGTCTGTAAGTCGTCCTCAGTAGTTCTCACCAAGGAACCCCTTGTCTTAAGTCAACAAACACCTATATGGACATTGGTTCTTAGCTCTCAATAAATCTCTCTCCATAATCCCTTTCTCTTTGGTCTCCAAGACACGCTACTCTTCTGGTTATTTTCTTTTTTTGTAATGTCTTCTGTCTCCCCATTGCAGAATCAATCTCCCCTAACAGGTCAGGAAGTTTTTCAGGAACTCAAGCTGAAGCTTGAGTCTAGGTTCACTGCTCATCTCATCCTCAGCTATAATAAAGACCATCTCCTCAAATGCTCTAATTTCCACCTTCTCCCTGACTCCAGACCTCCTGAAGCAATACCTGATTAACTACTCATCCTTGGAGCTCAGCTTCAGAAGCCTTTTCCTAACGAAAACTATTTGCCTTCTTGGTCAAACCTCTTTCCTGCACATATAGCTTGGGTCTAATCCAGACTGCCCAGGTTCAAATCCTGACCCCACCATTCACTAGTCATAGGACCTTGGGAGAATTAAGATACCTGAATAGATGCCTGTTTTACTATAGGAAGGTAATAATCCTCAGCTCAAACCATGGCTAATATCGTTATCAGATGTGAGTAACAGGAAATGAGCATACTTTTTAAAAAAAAGGGTGATATGAACCAAAGTATCGTGATGTTCCCCATAAACATGTACAAATGCTGTATGTCAATCAGAAATAAATAAAACATAAAGGACAGAGTTCTGGAACAGTGATTCTTCAGAGTGTGCATGAGAATCACCTGAACATTAGCATATCTTGGGGAGGAGGGTTAATAATTTGTACTTTTTGCAAGTTTCCTGGTAATATTAATGCTTCTAGGCTGGAGACCACAGTTTTAGAAATACATTACAGAAATGCCAGGGGTTGTTCTCAGAGACTTCAAGTCTCCTGGTTGTATTAAGTATATTTAAGCATACGAAAGGCCAAGTACAATATCATGTTTTATTTTATACTTATCTGATCACTGAAACCTAAACAGAAAGTTGTGCTAAAAAAAAATTAAATAGGTAAATAAAGAAAAAGCAGCAACAAACTTAAATGCTGAGAGCAGAGGAGAGGAATGCAAAGCCTGCCTTGAGGAGGGTGCACATAGTAGGGCTGAAAGCTGGAACCTAGTTAAGACAGCAGTTAAGCCACAGTGTAGTCCTGCAACCTGGCAACACAAAGGAGCTCCCTCTTCCTTCGTCTGAATCTGGGCTGCATAGGCATGAACCAGGACACGGACACCAGACCTGTCTTTCCTGAGCCATCTTCAGGCCTGAACACTGCTTTGCACACACATGTGCAAATTCACATTTACACTCACGAGCAGGGTTTCTGGTTTCAGGGCTCAGCTACCAAACCAAGTCCAAGTTTGTGTGAGTCTGCTTAGTTATGTCAGAGGCCACTGCAGAGGCAGACTGTCAACTATCCTGAAGACTGGCAAGGGAGAGACAGCATTCTGTACCCTGTTGTGAGGGAAAATTATGAGCCACTGCAGCTGCTGGGCTCAGTCATGGAGCTTCAGGGCCCAGTTCTGAGATGCCATCCAGTTCTGCTTTGCTCCTCAGTACCCAGCTGATAATGAAGCAGAGTGCCAGGAGGCCAGTCCCCAGCAGGTCCCCCAGCCCAGTAAGGTACGGGATACAGTGGTTGTCAGGATCCAGAGCCTGGTACCAGGTCAGCCGAACCAACACTTCCGCCAGGTACAGCAAGATTGTCACCTGTCATAAGAGCAAGCAAACAGAAGAAAGTGAAGTAAGGCCAAGAAACACCAACTGGGTTTCAAGGGGAGACACCAAAGTAGACATGTCAGCCCCACGGAGCCCCGTCCTCAAGCTTCTTTTGGGGTCTGCCTTCACTTGGATATATGCTAGAAACTTGACCCCTAGTGTGGCAATACTGAAGTGGTGGAATCTTTAAGAGGTAAGGCCTAGTGGAAGATTAGGTCATGAGTGGATTAAAACTGTCAGAAAGGAGTGGGTCTGGCCCTTGTTTTAAGAGTATGCCTGGCTCCTCCCTGCTCTCCTGCTTTTTCACTCACAACCGTGCCCTTTCAGAACATGTCTGGTTCCCTGTCCACTTTTTCTCCATCACATGTCATGGCAAGGGAGCCATCATCAAATGCCAGCACCATGCTGTTTTGATCCTTCAGCCACCAGAACTGTGAGTCAAATAAATCTCTGTCTCTCTCTTTTTCTTGGTACCAGGGATCGAACTCATGACCTCATGCTTGCCAAGCAAGCACTTATACCGCTGAGCTAAATCCCTGGCCCAAATCTCTTTTTTTAATAAGTTCCTCAGCAACACCAAATGGGCTAGCCTCCCAAAGTGCCACACAGATCTGCTGCCAATTACCAACTGGGACATTCTCTGCTATACCAGGCTCCACTCCTAGGATCTAGCTGGGACTTCCACTCATATTTGCTTGAGCTCTTCTTCCCTGGAGCTTTAATCAGCTCTTCCTAAAGCTTTCAAGGGAGGTCCATGCAGTCCTGGTCGTGTCCAATGGCCCTTCTGAACTTTATCTAGGCTCCTTTTTAGATGTCGCAACTACTTAGGAGTACTGCGTGGACTTGCCCAAGCTTACCTTTTGTGGTCAGGAACATGCTATAAATGCAAATGCCACAAACTTGACAAGGTTAGAAAATGTCCAGTCCTTAGTACAAAAAAACACCCCCAAAGAATTGCCCACCAGTGCCTGGTGACCTCCCTTCAGAAGCCTCAGGCCCACTGGGGATATTAGCTAGTTGGAGTCATTGCCATCTGCTAAATGCAACTGTGAAACAGGTGCCAGTTTAATCTTTCCCACTGTCCTCATCACCATCTAACCCTAAACAAGGACTTTGTTTTTTAGCAGCACCGTGGCAGGAGCCTAGTCCCCTATCTACCCACCCTCTGTGACACCATGGACCACTGGACCCACTGGTGAGCCTGCTCCATGGGAACACACTGCATCCTCAGGCAGCTGCTCTGATGAGTGAGTGGCATGCAGAGTACAGTATGCAGGGTACACTGTAAAGTGTGCAGTGCATTGTGCACACAGCACACAGGGTGAAGTATATAGTATATACTGCACCCTGTATCTAGAGCAGGCCACATGGCTTGAACAGGTTGAATGGGTCCCTGAAAGAGTAGAACCCCTTTCCCACCCCATTCCACGCAGTACTTCTCTTAGGACAGGAGACAGTGCATGCCTGCCAAGTCACCCAATGAAGGCTGCTCCTTTGCTGTTGCAGTCTTCCTTACCTGGATCAGGCCTGCTAGCAGATACAGCACCATAAAGGTCTTGCTGTTGGTCACTGACTGACCTTCCACCAGGTAGATGATGTAGAAGAAAATGAGATGGCCTGGAATCACTAAAAAGAGCAGGACTCGGGCCGACTTGGAATTGATTTCTGAAAAAAAAACAGAATCAAGAGCACTGCATGATCTTCCTGGAAGCAGAAGCTACCTTGGCAAGTGGTCATTCTCAATAAGTCTTCTACATTTATTCAGCTATTCATTCCACAAGTGTTCACTAAACACCTACTATCTGACATGTTTTAAAAGATGAGAATTCAGTCTTGTCTCTTGTTGCACTGTGGTGGATAACTGATTGTCTATTTGAGTGCGGAATGCCCAGCTGAATTGAGACAGCATAGTTCAGGCCATGGAAGACCACTTTAAGAGAGGTTGTTGTCTAAAAGCCGTAAAAAGAAGAGTGGGTGAGAAGGATTTCAGCTGATTTCCTTGGAGGAGTTTCCACTGTTCTCTCTGGAGGAGCTCTAGTCTCCCCCTTTGCCTTAGGAGTCATCTCTTGGCTTTTGATGAAGATTCTTCAGCTCCCAGCCCCAACCCTTCAACCTCCCCATGTAGACCTTCAGTAGTCTGTCTCAGATCCTTCAGTCTCCGGATGCAGACTTGCATGGGACACTGCTGTGGGCTCCAGGTCTTCACTGAATCCTTTGATCTCTGGTGCAAGACAGATCTTTTGTACTCTTCTACGCTTGACTCTGGTCAGGCACTGAAAGCTGATCTTATACAGTTCTGTGTCTTGCACTTAATCTGATTTAGAGCATGTGCTGTCTTTTGAGGAACCTTGTCCCATTCAGCCTTGGCAAGGTCTTGTAAGCATTCAGTAATACATGCACGCAGTTGACATTTTTGGGAAGAGAGGTAATATTCAAAACAAAGGTCATTTCAAATTATAGAAGACACAACGTATATCTGAGTAGAGGTGAGACCCCAAGTCCGAACACCTTCTGGGAGGTAATATTTAAATTGAGATCTAATTTGGGAGAGAGCATTCTAGGCAGAGGAAAGAATATGTGAAGAGTTCAGGGTAGAAAAAAGCTTGCAGGTGTCAAGAGGCATTTCTGAATTCCCCCAGGTATCACGTTAGTAACCCAAGGAGGGCAGAATACTCACAGGACACCTTGGCAGCCTCGCCTTGGCCTTACTTGCACAATTGTGTGTGCTAGTGAGCCCCAGATTTTTCTCTGCTCTATGAGTTTAAGACTTTCCAATGAATGTCACTCACTCTTGTTCAACACAAGCAGTGTTTTAACATGTTTCTGCCAGCTCATTTCTCTGGTGTTACAAGTATGACTGTCCCCATCAGATGTTTGTACCACTGGTGGTACAAATAGATCTAGTCACTTTTATAAGTCATTTTACCAATAAAATTAATAAAAAGCTGCCTGCTAGGACAGTCACATCCATACAGGGGTGTAAGCCATCCAGCAGTGAGACATACAAATTAAGGCCCCATTGTGAACATGTTAAACTACAACTTATGAATGTGACTGGCTTCTCAAGAGAAAGAGTTTCAGTAAAGTCTCTATTTACCTCATAGTTAATATAATGTATGTCAAAAAAATAAGGGAGAGGAAAGGAAAAATCATTGGTAGCTTAAAAGCTAAAAACCTACCATAAGAAACAGAGAGAAGATAAGAATGTATAAGAGGACCAAAATCTACTCATAATAAGAAATTATAGACAATGAATAAAATGTCTTTTTTTCACACATGAAACAAACAAAGATTTTGAAAGATGGAGAGAAAAGCTAGATAGGGACTTCAGGAACCAATAAACAACATGGTGTGAGTTTCCTGAAGATTGTTTTTTTAATTTGGTCTTATGTATCTCAGACTAGGTCCTATAAAATTTGGCAGCCCAGAATTGCCAATGACAGTAGACAGCGAGTCAACAAATATCTGCTCTCTTTAGCCAAGGGGTAAGAGAAGCATAGCCTAGCAAAGAAGAGAACTTTTAGGCAGTAACTACTGTTATCTGGCCAAACACTACAGGAAAAGCTGCAACCCTTCTTCCATGGCAAAGGCTGACAGGGGTATCTGGGCTTCCTTCTCCATCCAGGCTTCATGTGGGTCTCCTCTCTGTGGCTGAGGTAACACAGAGAAGACAGAGTGGAAAGTCAGAAAGTTTGTCCCCCACTGTGTCAGTCACAGCCATGTGAGGTGTAGTAACAAAGTGTTCCTTTCCCTCCCAGCTGGCTAGGACCTCAAAGGAGGCCCAGTAGGTGACCTAGATTCACATACTGCCTGGCAGTAATAAGAGGCTTCTCTTCTCACCCCTGACTGGCCACAAGGAAACAGTGTGTTTCCTTTCCCACGTACAGGTCCGCTAAAATAGAAGACTTACATAAGATCCACAGTCTTATCCAAAATATGCAGATTCAACCTAAAATCACATCATACTAAGAGCAAGAAAAATCTCAATGAGGATGAAAAACAATAACCCAACAGACAACAAACTAAGATGACACAGATGTCAGAATTACCTACAGCTGACCTTAACACATTCACGAAGGCATCATAATCTGTACTTCTTCTGCCAGGCATCTTGAACCACTGGTGGCACATGAATGACTGTCGCATTGAGCGGATTTTTATTAATTTCATTAATAAAAAGATCAATAAAAGTTATTATATCCATTTATACCACCAATATAAGCTGCCCAATAGGACAGTCACATATGACCACCACAGGTTCAAACCAGCAGGAACATGTTAATGAAGCCTTTATAAACATCTTTCAAAACAAAATCCCACACACACTTGAAACAAGTGAAAAAATAAAGTCATAGAAGAAAACAAAGACTCAAACAGAAATTTTAGAAATTAAAAATATCCAGAAAAACCAAACAACTCAATGAATAGAATAAACAGCAGAATAAAGAGTGACAGAGGGAAGAATCGGTGAACAAAGTTATAGAAATTAGCCATTATAAACAATAGAGAAAAACCTGACCAAAAAAAATTAAACAGAGCCTAAGGAACTTGTGCGACAATAACAAAAGATTAACATTCATGCCAGTAAAATTTCAGAAGAAGATGAAGCTAAAAAAAAGTACTAAAAGTAACTGTACAAAATTCTCCAAATTTGGCGAAAGATATAAATGTACCTATCTAAGGAGGCCATAAACAACAAATAAAATTAATCCTATGATATCCTCATCAACCCATATCATCATCCAACATCTAAAAACTAAAGAAGTCTTAATATAAGGAAGAAATACTCCCATACTTAATGCACCAAAAGCAATTCACATGGTGGCAAAGGCAATCCAAGTGATAGCAGATTTGTCATCAAAGCTATGGAGGTCAGAAGGGAGTGGCAAAATCTTCCAGTATTGAAGTAAAAATCAAGCTTTAATATTACAGCAAGCAAAAATATCCTTCTTGGAGGTATCACTGCTCTCCTACAAGATGGATAAAGGTATTTCCTAAAACAGGAAATGATTCAAGAAAATATTGTGAGAGAAAAGATCTGATTCTGAAAAGATAAAAAATACACCGCCAATGGCTTCCAGTAGTTCTCAAAAATATATTCCATCTCCTTTCTCAAACTTTCAGGCCCTCTAGCACTCCCTCTTTATCTCTTTGGCCTCAACTTCCTCCATCCCCTCTTGCTCATTATGCTCTGCTGTCACTAGGCCATGTGTTGCTCAAACTCACCAAGCCCCTTCCTGCTTCTAGGCCTTTGTTCAGGCTATTTCTTCCACTCTCAGCCCCTTTTCCCAACCAAGTCCTCAGAGAGGAGCTTCCTAACCCCAGCATACATCCTGATTCCTTTTCATTGCACCCCGTGCTTTTGTCTTCTGGGAAACATCACAACTTAAAATCATGAGCTCATTTACTTTACTTGTATTTGCTCTTCTGGTCTTGGTTCGCCATGAAGGCAAGAAATCAGGTGTTTCTGTTTCACCACTGTCACCTGACTCCTTATTTAGTAGGCATTTAGTATTTTAATGAATGACAGAAAGACAGACCGATATGTCTAGGTAGTCAAGTCCTCACAAGGGGCGCTGGGGCCTAGAAGGTGATCTATGCTGAGGTTAGACTGGCCTCAGGAAGCCACTGCAGCAAACCCCAGATTCAAATGACACAAATTTTTGTTTAAAGAAATGGCCACAGGGCCTCTGGAAGACTCACCTGAGGTGCAGAAAATAGAACACGGGTTAGGCCAAAATTTTTTCATCTGGAGAGGGAGGATCCCAGGAGTGCTCCAAATGTGCAGGTAAGTGGAGATCCGGCTGGTCTGAATGGCAACCAAGTTACCACCCACACCTGCAAGGAGAAAAAGGATCTAGGTTCTCATTCTTTACACTAGTCTCTGGGTTTTCTTACCATAAGCTCACTTTCTCTAGGAAGCTTTCCTAGATTGAGTCAGCGTCTGGTATCATCTCCTTCCTGCCGCCTAATCTTGTTTGGCACTCAGCTCTCTGAGTGAGGCATCACTTTGACAGCTGGCACCTCTTACAGTGAGGGAAGCTGGCAAAGCAGGCTCTCAGTTCTCAGTAAATACTTGTTGGTTGAAAGGAGGTAAAATAAGGGTAGGAAAACCAGGAAAGGAGTAAGGAGGAGAGGGGAGAGTAGGCATCAGCACTCAGCAAGTGACTCCAGGAAACTAAACTGCAAGGCCATGGGAGTGGACAGGAACCAGCAGATAGGAATCAAAAAGAAAGGGAAGGGCAGGGAGGGAATGGTGGCTGACAGCGGAGGGTGACAGGAAGAGGTGATCTTGTGTGACAAGCACAAACACTTCTCATGGCTCGTGGCCTGAGTGTTTCTAGGCAAAGGCATTTTTCACTACTGTGCTTTAATCTATGTTCCAAGTCCCGTTCTGGGGAACCCACACTGCTAGTACAGAGGCTCACATCAATAAACGCTTTGGGTGGGTACACAGAGGGCTGTCTGTGGGGAAATTCACAGAGCTGAAGGGTCATGAGAGGACGGAGTGCTGGGCACTGACAGAACGGAAGGCAGAATCAGGAGCCCCAGAAGATGTCAAGCATGTTTGTTCCCTGGAATTCTTGCTGAGCCTCCTGGCTTCCACAGGTGTGAAAAAAGTTTTAAGCTCTGTCAGGGCCACTTGGCCCAGCTGACAAAGGCCATGCTGAGCTCCTTTTACTGGCAGCAGACCTGGGTGCTGGAAAAGGAAACGGCATGCCTGGGAGACGGTTCCCTTTAGGAGGTGGCTGACAGAGGCTGAGGCTTGACCCTTTTCTATGTCCTCGGCCACATGGAGAACTCTGCTTAACTGGGAAGGTGCCACAGTGACTTCTAAGGCAGGGACCAACCACTTGGCTAGTTCTAGGGGGTGCAAAAAATGAAACAAAATGAACAAAAACATTCTGTAGGCAGCAGATGACTGCAGATTGATTTTCGTTGGCCCAGAAGTGACTTTTACAAGAGTCAGGGAAACTCTTAAATTAATTGGGAGCATATTTATAAATTATGCTCTTAATCCAGGTTCCAGGCTTCTCTTAATAAGTCAAGTGTGGACCTATTCTCCCACCAGGTCAACCTGGCTGGAGCGGACTGGGCAGGTACCACTCCCTTCACATTAGTGCTGGGATCTGCAGCTTGCCCCAGGCCTCACCATTCCTTAATACATAGTTACTGTCTTGTCTGTGTAACCTACTCAAGTTGTCTGACTGGCCTCCAAAGGCAGATGAGTCACTGACTCATTCTATGCTTCTTGCCATCTGCTGCCCTCACTACGTACAGTCACTATGGGGTTCTTCCAGATGCAAGCATGGGGTGGTGGCACTTGCCACCCAAGAAGCATAGGCCCCATCACCCTTGGGGTAGGGGAGGGGATGCTGTGGATAATCAGGGTCTGTCCAAGGAACTGGGAAGCCCATTTCTGCAGTCCCAGAAGGTCAAGGCTTGGGGACCAATCAAACTGAGCAATAACTGAGCATGCATTGTTCTGCTAACTGGCAGGTTCTGTTTTCAGAGCTTCATGAGAGATCATCAATTCAGATGCCCACAGGGTACAGGGTATAGAAGGTGATTAAGGAATGGAGTCACATGCAGGGCAACAGGAAGCAGTAGGGATCCAGGCAAACTAGAAACACAGGTCCTGTTTCCGGGCAGGTCTAGGACATAAACCAAGGATTGTACAGCCTTCATTTTTAAGGTGCAGACAGAAGTCCAGCTTTCTATATGTAAACATCTGAGTTTCAATGACACCACTGAATCCTTAAAAACCCCCTAGTTCTGAGGGGCCACATTCAGTTTTCAGTTGCCTATGAAGCCAGAGTTAAACTCTGCCTTCTAGGCCTGGAATTTATGTCTCTCAGGAAAGATCCTGTCTTTGTGGTGCCCACGAAAATAGTGTGCACTACCTTCCCGCCTAGGTCTCCTTTCATCCGACACAAACCAGCTCCAACTGCTCCACAGGCAGCGATCTGTCCAAGGTTCAGCTGCACAACTGCCTCTGAAGCCTGGTGCTGGACTGATGTTCAGGCCCAATCAGGCCCTAAGGACTAACCCAAGCCAGGGATCCCAGGGGAACCATATCAGCCACCTACCGCATACAACAGGAGTAAATATGGCCATGCCTTTGTACTGGTGTTTAGAAATGGTTTTGCTCAGGATGAGCCCTCCAAAACTGAGGAGAGAACAGACAGCAGTCAAGTGAGCAGATCTGGTATTCAGAGAGGCCTTGCCAGTCTTCTCTCTGCAGATGGTCCCGCTGGCTTGCCCTCCCGCCCCAGCCTTCTCCTACACAGAACATCTGCTGTAACCTAGTGGATCTTCCCGACTCCTCTGTGCCCAGTTTTCCCATTCCTATTTTGAATCTTGACTGTTCCAGTAGGCCCTTCAAATAATGACCCCTCAAACAATAAATGCATGGCTTCAGGAGAATTGCAGCTGGGTAAGTTCCCTTGCTGGATGGCTCCTGACTCCTGACTGAGCTGGGCTTCAGCAGGAAATACAACCTGCACAGAATTACTTCATGATCCTGTTCTCAGGACTGCTACAGAAGATCTTGCTGCTGCCAGCCACTACAGTTCAGCAAAGATTTGCCCACCTCTTGGACTTCTGAGAACTCTGGGGAAGACAGATTGATTTGAATAGAAGCCCAGGAACCTTTTGGAAGCCAAGATATGTGAGCCACAGTCTCTTTTCCCCAATATTCAGATTCCCCTTCAAAGGCTTCTCGCAGGAAAGAGGCCTTCACAGTGAGACTGGAGTGAAGCACATCTGGGTTCCCCCAAAGGTTTTAAAAGTCCACAGTGAACTCCAGATTCCTCCAGTAGCCATGGTATGGACAGTGACCAGAATTAGCTGTCACCATAAGGCTACAATGAGGGGCCCTGCAGTCTAAGCAGGGGTCTGGACTATGAAGGCCAGTGTCCCCTAGCACTACAGTGCAGAGGGTTCCAGGGACTGCAGAGGATATGTCTGACCTTCCAGCCTGGCCCCTGGTGCTGGTGACTGTAAACAGGGTAGCTTCTGTGAAAAAGACTGAGTACAGCTGGTACTTTCCAGTACTGGGAGTTAACGCAGGAGCCCAGACTACATGTCAGTCCAGACTGAGGGTGTTGTGGGAAAGGAAGTAGCAGTGCAGGGTCCCTTACTCAGGCTCACCTGCTGATAACCATGGCAAGAATGATGGGAAACCACCCAAACTTTAGGATCTTCATGACTGGGGGGTTCTGCTTGACGATGCAGACCCACAGGGGGATCAGAGTTATGAAGCCAATGCAGACCAGCGGTGTCAAATACCAGGTGTCTGAAACAGAAAGGGGATACTTGCAGCTCCTGTAGCCAAGGCTGACACTCAAGGGCTCAGACTGGCCATGGTGGGGCCTGGATTTCCCAGGCAAGAAATAGGCAAGGAGCCAAGGACAGGGAAACCTGAAGAGCCACTTCTATTCTCATCATTTAGGATCAACAAATCTACGATACCTTCCAAGGATTCTTCACTGTCCCATTAAGCAACTGGAAAAACCTCTCTCTGTCTTCAGTTTACCTTTGCTTCTCAGTTGTTTGCTGAGAAGCATAAGTGTCCATACATAAATGTCCTATCAGCCAATACTATAAGGAATAATACTCTATAGGACAGTGGCCACATGACAGCTATTCCCCTGCACGATCTCATTTCATGTGCTCAACTCACTGCTTATCCACCAGGAGCAAAGTGAAGCATGAGGAGGTGGTTGCCCAAGGTGCACAGTGGCAGCTAGTCATACCTGGGGCTGTGGAAAGCTTAAGCAGGTGCATGATGATGCCCTCTCCTGGCTGAGTCCATCTAAGGTGATGTGCTTGTTGCCGTGTCTCTCATAGGGCAGCCTGGCAGCTACTCATGTCACCATGTCATCACTGGCAATGCATATACTAAGCTGGTGAAGAGGGATGGCGTCTGGATTGGTTGAACGCTATCCCATGCTCAGTGCACTGAAGCACCTTTTGTGTTCACTCCCTTCCTTTTTTTGTACTCTGTACATGACTTTCACCATTCACATATGCACAGAATACCATCAGCTTTCTCTAGGACCATCTTTACACCCTGCCAGAGGCAGGCTCAGAGTGTGTGCACAACCTGTTTGCAAGGTGGCCCCAATGCTGGGAGGTTCACAGGCATGGTTTGTGTCTTGTGTACTCCTGTGGAAAGTGACATTAGGAATATTCCCCTCCTTCTTTCCCCATACTATATACCCATGGCCCATTCCACAAGTGCCTGACAATACCTATAGACAAAGCACTTCATGACGGGCATGACTGTCCTTGTGCCAGCCCAGGAGATGGGAGGCAGCCCCAGCAAGTCTCAAGCACTCAGGCCATAGTGGTCTGAGGAAACATCTCCTTACAGGACACTTGGAAGTGAAGTTCAACTTTTCCTTAATTGCCCACAAGTCACCATCAAGGGCCTGGCTCACATTTCCCGCAGAATGGTAACACACTTCCTGTGTGAGGCTGCATCTTCTCCACTGTCCCTGGCAGGTGGGACAGTCGACTCACTGCTCAGGCAGTAAAGACATCCCTTCAGGCCAGGCCAGTGACCCCCCAGAGTGCAACAGAGAGATGTTCATAGGTTCACGATGGTGACTAAATGTCAGATCCTAAGTCATGTGTTAAAATAAGCATACGGGACAGTAGGCATCAGAAAGATGGGCTGTGGGGAAACCTAAAATTCTTATTTATTTTACAAATCAAGTATGAACAATTAACTCCTACAGAAATCTTATTTTAAATTTTGTTTCACTTAAAAGTAAAATAAAGTCATCTTATTTGATTCCTACAGATCTTCATGTCACCCACTAAACTCTGAGACTCTCTCTGGTAATCAAGTATCACCGGCAGCAAGCAACACCCAAGAGGGAAGGCAAGGAATCACCCCACAGATAGGACAGAAAGGGTCCCAGGTACTGTACTATGTTATTTGTGCGCTTCAGTAAATAGCAGCATGTAAAAATGGGGCAACTTTTCAAATCCTTGTGTTAATGGTTCCATAGGGAACTGAAAAATTAAAAGCTTTGATGTTCCTATTGTGTAGGACAGAGCCTTCAAAAACTGTCACTACATGTCCCTGCTCCCCACTGGAGGACACATCTAAGTGGCCAGAGCAGTCTGAGGCCCTGAGTGTTCTCCTTGAATGTCTCTGTTCTAAAAGCAGAAATTAATAACCACATGTCTATTGACTTGAGCTGCTTTTTCCCTCTACCAAGATATTCTGAAGACACTGAATCAGCTGAATGGCCTCAGGCTTTCCCATTGTAGAAAGAGGACCTCTGGTTCTACAACACCCTACACTAGGTTCCTTTTTATGGGAACAGTGCCTGATCTGAATGCAATGACTGGGTAGCAGAGTTCCCACTCAGCTCAGCCTTGCTGATGACCAATGTGGGACCCCCTCCTCCCTGAAGCCCTCCCTACCTTTGTGTCTATAGAAGAAGCTGCTAACCAACGCCAGAATGGAGAGTGTGATGAGGTCACCCAGGCTGGCTGCAATGGGTGTGGCGATGTTGTCTGGGTTGACCCCCACCTTTCGAGCACCAACCACTATACAGACCATCAGCATTCCTGCAAACAGAGATGAGGGAGAGGAGAGTAAGTCCAGAGTAGGGAATTGGCCCTGAGAAGGCCCAGTAGCCTAGGGGTCTGTGTTTTGGGAGAGGGGACCAGGAGGTAGTGCCCACTGCTCATATCTCCAGAAGCTGAGACACAGGGTACTCAGAACAGGGATTTTCCAAACAAAAACACCAGGGTCTAGGTGGATGCTGGTATACACACAGGGCGCTGCTCACCCAGAGCAAAGGCTGCAAGGAAGGCAGTGAGGACGCTGCTGGCACACAGCAATGCCACCTTGGCCAAATCCAACTCCTCTCTAGACAGAGCACCCAACAGCAGGACAGCCACTGCAGCCAGAAGTCCCACGACAGTGGCCTGCACCTGTTGAGACAGAAATGAGTCACATAAGATAGGGTCCTTCTGCCCACTGCCAATCCTGCCCTCTGCTGTACCTCTCCTTGTGTAAGGAGACGCGGCAGCTCATCACAGGCTCCTGTCCTTCATGTCTCATCTGATGACAGCCCTCCACTCCTGGAAGACACCCCCAGCACCTCCCTTCAAACTGCTTCCCTCCAGTCCCTTGCTAGATGCTACCTTCCACTGCAGAATCAAAAGCCTCCTCTGTGATCCTGGCCTCAATCAAGAAGAACCTGGGCACTGCTCATGATACCACTCTCACAACTTTGGAGGCCTCTGCCCACACACTCAGCCTTGGTCTTCTGACTGTCCCTTCCTGGCACCTGCCCTATACACTGGTGTCCTCTGATTCTCTGACTCACAATCCTATCAGACTGCCGTCCCTCTCCAGCCTGCAGAGCACTCAGTCCTGTGGCCACGCAGAGCCTCACCATCAGGTGCCCAGATCTGAACACCAGCACTGGAACTTCTGACTTAACGTGTCTAAATGGGAATGTGTATGTTACTGAAAAAGGCTGACAGAAAAAAGAGCTAGCCATGTTCTTGGGTGAGAAGAACTAGTTTTTTAAAGATGAAAAATGTTTCAAAATCAATTTCTGTAATTCCAATTAAAGTCTCCACAGGATTTTTCACGACACTTGACGAAGTGCTTTAAATGTCACAAAAATGAGTAAACATGCAAGAAGAGCCAAGATGATGTAGATAAAGAATGCCAAATAAGTTGTTCTGACACATTCGCCACCAAAATTATGTTAAATCTACAGTAATAATAGCAGTGTGGCACTGACCGAAATAGACACATCAGAACAGAAGAAAGCCCAAAAACACAACCATGAATATGTGAAACTTTTAAATTTGATATATGAAAACATAGTTATAATATATGAGATTTTAAGATGATACAGGTAGCATTTCAAATCACTATGGAGTGGGTGAATACTGAATAAACAGGTGGCAGAAACTGAATAGCTATGTTTGGGGAAGAAATGGGTTTTCACTTCATACTAGTCACACACACACACACACACACACACACACACACACACACACAGGGAAAGTACAACCCAAGGTGTGTGCACATACATCCCTGCTTAGCCCATGGTGGGGAGAGTGGGGCAGGCTGGAGATGAAGCTGCTGAATGAGACAAGGGTAGCACACTAGGATAAGAGGGAGCACCAGGCAGGAGGTGCCATCAACTCAGGGAAGGTCACTAGGGAGGCCACACAAAGCTGGAAGCAGTTGGAAGGGCACAGAGATTTACAGTCTTCAATCAGGGGAGAAGGTGGAACAGGGCTGAATTCAGCCAAGACTCTGAGGTGGAGTCCTCAGAGAGGCTCGATGTGACAATGAGGGGTGCAGGGAGTAGCTGAGGACACTAGTGGGATGGACTGGTCATAAGCATAGCTGACAATCATGGGAGATAGTCATGCATTAGTCAGCTTTCCATTGACCATAATAAAATGGCAGAAATAATGAGTTAATAAAGAAAAAAGGTCTACTTTGGCTTGGAGTTTCGGAGATTCTAGACCATGACGAACTGGCCACATTGCTTTGGCCCTGTGGCAGGACATCACAGCAGGAGCACATGGCAAAGTGAAAGTGCTCATTTCATGGCCAGGAAGCAAAAAACAGTGAGGAGGAGCCTGGGGTTTGACACTTCCTTCCAAGAGCACACCTGAAAGATCTATGCTGCAACTTCCCAACAGTGCCATATGCTGGGGACCTTTGTTTACATAATGGGCTGTTAGGGGGACCCAAATTATTTCCAGCCCTGTACTCAATAGATGCTAGCATAACCTCACTACAACCCATTTTACAGAGAATGAGGTCCTTTAGCAGGTGACTTCTAGAGTGAATTGTCCACTGTCACAGTGGACAGAGTGGAGGCTTTTAGTTAGAAGAGATGACTTCAAGAGGGAAAATAATGAGGTCAAATTTGGCTATGCTATTTTGGGCATGACTGTGAGACAGGCAGATGAAGATACCAGTTAGATGTAGGGCTCTAAATCCAGGAGGGTTATGGTGAGAGTCGCTGATGGTCAGGGACACACAGCCTGGCCCAAGGCTGCTGACAGATAACGGCTGTTTGATTTCAGCAACCCACTTTTCTGCTGATACTACAGGCTGCTCCCACCCTAAAAAGCCCAGAAAGTTTTAGGATAGAGCACCTGCTAGAGTTGGGTCCACATCCAGCCTTCCTTCTTGCCCTTGAGATAATCTCACTTCTTCCTGCCTTCGTTCTCCCAGGCAGCTCATTTCTCCCTTAATGAGAACTTAGCCCCAAAAGGAGGTATAAGTTTGAGAGGAACATGAAGCACTCAAAGGGCTAAGAGGATCTCCCAAAGGCTGACAAGGAACTGGCAAGCAGGGAAGATCCACCAATGTACCCCAGATAGGTTAAATAAAGTCACATGGGAAAAAACTCAGGATGTATCAATTGATAGAATATCAGTGACTTTGGAAAGACCCATTTGAGACAAAACTGGGAAAAGAAGAAACCTTTTAGTATCTGCAGAGAGAACAACCCAGTACAGGTGGCTCTTTCAAGAATTTAGTTTGGAAAGAAGACAAGCAGAGAGAATCTTTAGTCCCATCAGAGGCATCTCCTTCAGGTGGATGGTGCAGTGCCCTGGAGGAGGGCTGAGTCCCAAGCAGCTGCAGGAATGGGGCCAAGTGGACAGACAATCATATGTCTTCAAAGTTCAGTCCAGAGTACTGAGACAAAGGACTCATGTAGCCCTCCACTCTCCTACCTGGAATGGTCCTCGCTGCAGATTCAAAAAGAGGGAGAGGCTGTGTCAGCGTGACAAAGTGGAGATTCACCTGAATGAGGGCGAGGTTACTGCTGATGATTCTGTGTTTCTCCTGGGGGTCATCAATTTGTCCGGTGTTGGCCTAAGATGCAGAAAAAGGGACAGAAGGTAAGTCTGACTGGACTCAGAGCAGTTCAGTCTATCCTAAAGCAAAGGCCTCTCAAGAGAGAAAGCACGAAATACCATTTCACTGACTTCAGAACAAATTAGGCTGCTCGGCTTTCTAGACAGCAGCTCTGTATTTTGAGGGGACTGGAGGACAAAGGTAAAGACATAGTCCCCTTGAGAATGGAAATGGTGTCAAGGACCTTCCCTCTATGTGCATGTGTGAGCACATATGCAGAACAGATGTGTTGCCCATGGTTTCAAGGCCATGTTCAACTCTCAGGCTCACACATGGGCTCAAGTTAAGGCTTCTTATTGTGAAAGATACACACATGCAGAAACTGGGCCACAGTCCCTGTTTTAGTCAGGGGTTTTTAAGAAGAACAATACAATACAATACAATACAGGACATATAATTTATAGTATTATTTTGTAACTGTCACCCAAGAGTTAAATACAAAAGAAAGAGTTCAGGAAATCTGTCCATACACTAATACTCAAGGAATCCAGCCCAGGGCCTGGATCCCTTGGCAACATCCTGCCTGAGCTGAAGACCCAGAGTGTATGACAATGCCCATCCCCATAAGTACAACTGGAGGCCTAGAGCCCACAACAATGACTCATGTAGGTCTGTTTCACAGATTTGCACTGGGAAGGCTCAAAGGTCAGCAGTGGAAACTAGAAAGTCTGTGCCAGTGGGAGGAAGGATCTGTGCCAGTAGGTTAAGGATTCTGTACTGGAGCCAGGAAACAATGCTCAAAGAAACAACCAGTACCATAGCCATCCCCAGTGACAATGAGGTCCCAAGCTCCTCTGATGACGAGAACAGCCAAGTTCATATCAGGAAGCCAGCAAGACAAGCTTCTTCCAGATATTGAACAGCACACCATCTTCCCCTCCAGAGCCACGAAGTGATGCTCAAAGTAAGATCAGAGCTCCCCTAAAGTGAACTACAGCCATTCTCAACAAGGTCCCAAGTTCCTTTAACAATGAGAACACCCAAATTTGTATCAGGAAAGAAGCTCAGCAAGCTTCTTAAGGAGAGACAATGGCAACAAAAGAACCAATAGCACCAAAAAACAGCACTCTTCCTCTTCAGGTCTCCCTTTTAGGCTGGCAAAAGTTCTCAGGTGGGCCATCAACACTCAGTATCACACTGATTCAATTTAGTTGGTGTTTAAATTGACATCAGTTTGCAATCCACCGCACTCCCCATTACCTACAATTCCCTTTTCTCCTTTCTAGCTGACCCTACCTGAATGACTTGGCTCTGTACATCCTTTGCAAAATCAAGCTGTTTAAGAAATGCATTGTATGTTTCTTCTCTCAAAGTATAAAAAATGTAATCAGATGTTGGGGACCAAGAATTCTAATTTTGCATACTTCCCTAAGGGATAAATGGAGGGCTGGGATCATAGTATCACTCTACTGAGAATTCCCATCAACTCTCAGGATGGGCCATCCTCTCCCACCAAGATTAAACTAAAACTACAAAGATGAAAATGAACACTCCAGAATAAGATCATTTTTAGCATAAAGATCATCTCCATCCTCTTGATTCATTCCAGGATTATCGGTTGCCTGCAGTGTCATCAATCTCTGAATTTTCTGCAGACCTGAAATCTTCCAGGATGTCGCTAGTCCCTCCTGTCATTGTATACACCCACTGCATTGTACACACTCAATAAATGGAGTATCTGGGCTTCTGTCCGTCCTGAAGCACTGACCTCCCAGCTTCTCATCATGCATTACTAAATCTGTCTCTGTTTCTTATTTTCGCCATATCCCTCACACAGGCAGTTGGGGATCTTAGCCAGGAACCTGACAATCAGACTTCCTCCCTTAAAAGTGGTAGTTGTCTTCTAACAGCATGGTAAAAGCCATCAAAACAACAAATGGTTCAATACATACATATTTTTCTCGAAGCTCTTTTTACTTTTGTTTTTCGGATCAGGGCCTTCTATGCAATGCAGGCTGGGCTTGAACTTTCTGTGTAGCCCAGGCTGGTCTCGAGTTTATGGTAATCTTCCTACCTCAGTCTGCTAAATGCTGGGATTATAGACATGCACCACCACACCAGACTCTTTCTAGCTCCTTTTTACTTTGTCAGTTAAGTTTCTGAATTTGAAGGGGAAAAAAACATAAGGATGTGTCTATTACTAACAAATGTGATGATCACTTTTATCCCCTACCTACAAAGAAGGGCCCAGGCCCAAAACATCACATAACTGGTGCCAGGCCTCCGCACACTGCTTCAGGCAGATGGAAGGATCTTACCTCAGAGTCCTCTTAGGAATAAGGTGATGAGATGGAACAGGAAACTATGGCAGATCCTGTGAGGCCACAGACTCATTTCTCTCTTATGTCCCACAGCAGGACTGTGTGTTCACTGCACTTGTTTGCTGTTTTAACTCACATTTGCTATTAACTGGCTTGACCTGGGTCCTGGATACTAGTAGACAGGGACTGCTGTCTCCACCTATGAATCTAAGCACACTTGCCTTCCTCAAGGTATTCTGTTTGTATCAATTTTAAAATGGCTAAAATAAATATTCAGATCTCTGACTACAAACCTCATGGCATTTTACTCTGAATGAAAGCGCTCATCAAATTTGTCACTGGTACCCACAAGCACATTACTAAGTAATGGATGAACAGGAAAAGGAGGCAAACCAAGAGACGAAGCAAGGACCAAAAGGCTGGGAGCTTGGGGACTTACAGATGTGAGGGAGGGCAAAGCCCAGAAGTTAAAAGGGCAAGGAGCCTGTGTGAAGGAATAATGGCAAAAACTGCCCCAGACAGAGGAAAGAGACAGCTAGGGAAATATAAGACAATGAATGAACCCAAAGAAGGATAAAACCAGAGAATCTCACACCGAGACACAAACAAATTGTTCACAGTGATAAACAGAATTTTAAGACTCTCTGGAGACAATAGATTCATCACATACAAGACATTCTTAAGATTACTGAAGGATTTTCAGCAGAAATTTAAAGGCCAAGTTAAAGCACTAGAAGGAAAAAAAAAAAGTCAACTAAGAATTCTGCACCTGGCAAAATATCCTGCAAAAGTAAGAAATTAAGACGCTTCCCTATAAACAAAAGCTGTGGAGTTCAGCATTACTGAATGCCTTATATGGAATGCTGAGAGTCCTTTGAGTTGAATGAAATGAAAGGATGACAGCGGAGAACTTCAAGCCAAATAAAAATAGGAAGTTCAGCTGGGCATGTGGCACATTCTAGGAGGCAGAAGCAGAAGGATCAGAATTTCAAGACAAGCCTGAGCCACTCAGTGAGACCTTGTCTCAAAATTTTAAAAGGGGCCTAGGGATGAGGTTCATTGCAAGCTCTCTAGATCAGTCCTGCAAATAAACAGTAATGAAAAAAAACCCAAACCAAACCAAAACAAACAAACAAACAAAAAAGAAAAGGTAAATACATAAAAGCTATTATTATAATTTTGTTCATAATCACACTGTATTACAAGATTTGAAAAACAAAAGTATAAAATAATTATAAATCTATAAACCTATTTTAACCAGCAACAAGATATAATTTGGGACATCAATAACAAAGCAGAAGGAGAGAACAGCTATAACAGAGTAACATTTTTAAATGCAATTTAAGTTAAATGGGCATCACTTTAAAATATAAATTTAGGATTTTATATTAATTCCCTGGATAATCACAAAGAAAATATTTATAGCCTATCAACAAAGAGATATAGAGAAAGAAATAAAAACATGACTAGGAAAAAAACCAACTAATCACAAAGCCAGGCAGTAGGGAAGAAATATGAGACCAAAAAAAAGGGCATAAGACACAGAAAAAAAATAGCAATAAAAATTCTTGTTAGTAACTAATTTATATGCAAATGGTCTAAATTTCCCAATCAAAAGACATAGATTGGCAAAATGAATTAAAAAACAAAAAACAAGAATCTAACTAGAGGCTGTCTATAAGAGACTCGGTTTACATCTAATGACATACAAAAGTTGAAAGTAAAAGGATAGAAAAAAAATACTCCATAAAAATAGTGATCAAAGAGAGCAGTGGTGGTCTTAATACCATGTGACAATACAGATTTTAACTCAAAAACCATTATTAGACAAAGAAAATTACAGAATAACACATGGGTCAAGTCCCTAAGATGGAATAATTACAAATTACAAATATACATACACTAAACATCACAGCTTTTAAATAATATGGAGCAAATACTGACAGAACAGAAGGAAGAAACAGACAATTCTAGCTGAAGACTTTAATACTCCTGAAAAACTAGACAGAAGATAAGTAAAGAAACACAGGATTTCGTTCACATTATAGACCAACTAGACCTAACAGACATAAAGAATATTTTATCCAAAAATAGTAAAGTATTTGTATCAACTGAATGCAGAATATTTTCTAGAACAGATCATATATTAAACCAAAAATCAGTGTTAATATATTTAATTAGTTTGATATTTTTTTTTCATTACTGGGGCTTGAATCCAGGGCTTCAGCCCTGAGCTAACCCCCATAACTTATTTATGTTTTCTTAATTTTGAGACAGTGTCTCACTAAATCACTGAGCTCAGTGAAGTCAAATTTGAGATCTTTTACCTCACCTAGAGTCCTGGAATTATAAGCACATGCTACTATGACAGGCTTGATACTTTCCAGTCAGCAGAAAATGAAACTAGAAATTAGTTGTAGAAGAACAATGGGAAAAATCTCCAAATACATAGAAATTAAAAAACACATTGTTGAGGAACTAACAGGATGAAGAAATCACAAGGAAAAACAAAATATCTTGAAACAAATTAAAACAAAAACCAACATATCACAACTTATAGGCTGCAGTGAAATTTTAAAAGGGAAATTTATAGCTTTAAACGATTATACTAAAAATAAGAAAAACCAAATCAATCACATAAATTCACAGTTAAACTAGAAAAAGAATCACACAAAGTTAGCAGAAGGAAAAACGATAAAAAGACTACAGCAGGGTGGTATTAGAAAGATAATAGGGAAAAAAATCAGTGAAACGAAGAATTAGCATTTACAAATCTTCAGATAAACAAAGAAAAATAGACAAGATTCAAAAGACTATAATCAGAAATAAAAATGTAAGCACTGCTACCAAGTCTACAGATAAAAAGGAATATGTGAGAGAACCAAGAATAACATGTCAACAAGTCAGATAATTTAATTGAAATGGGTAAATTCTCAGAAACACACAATTGATGTGTGTTTAGTTCTTCATACTTAAGTATGAAGAAATACAAAATTATGAGCCAGTCGATAACTAGTAAGAAATTGAATCAGGAATCATAAACCTCTCAACAAAGAAACCTCAGGACCAGGCAGGCTATACTGAGAAATTCTATCAATGCTTAAAAAAAGAAGTAATAGCCACCCTTGACAAACTCTCCCAAAAACTGAAGAGAAAGGAACACCTCCAAATTCATTATTTGAGGCCAGTGTTACTGATACCAAAACCAGACAGATAAAGTAAGACCCATGTTGCTAAGGAACATCGATACAAAAATCATCAATAAAACACTGACAAACTGAATATAACAGTATATCAGAAAGACTTCACACCATGACCAATAGGATTTACTCTTGGTATGACTTAGTTCAACATAAGAAAGTCAATGTAAAATGCCACCTTATTAAAATGAATTAAAGAAAACACATGATCATTTCAACTAATGAGGAAAAAGCATCTAACAAAATTATTCTAAGATAATAACACCCAACCAAGTAGGAATAGAAGGAAACTACCTCACCATCATGAAGATCCCATGGAAAAATCCCACAGTTAACACTGTATTAAAGGTTAAAGATGGGGACTTTTACATGAAGGCAAGGAACAAGAGAAGTATGTCTGCTTTTACCATTTCAATTCTGGTACTGGGGAACTCAGGACCTTGCACCAGCGAGGCAAGTGCTTATGCCGCTAAGCCAAATTCCCAGCTGCGACTTCAATTCTACATAGAAGTCCTAGCTAGAATGAGGAGGCAAAAAAAAAAAAAATGAAAGCTATGCAAGCTGGAAGTAGCCATACTGTTTGGAACTGAACTATTAGGATGAAAACTCTTAAGATTACACACATGAGTGTGCACCAGTGGAACTAACAAACTCAGCAAAGTTGCAGGATACAAAATCAGTTACATTTCTACTCATTAACAATGAACAATTCAAAAAAGAATTAAAACAATTCCATTAATGATAGCCTCAAAATGAATAAAATACTCAGGAATTAAAGAGGCAAAAGACTTTTACAATTACTTTTACAAAGTACTGCTGGAGAAGTTAAGTACACAAGCAAATAGAAAAACACACCACATTCACAGAATAGAATACCTACTACAGACACTCCTTACTTAAAGACCTGCGTGTCTAATGACTATTCAGACTTATGCCAGACTTATGGCCAACGCGTGTTGTGCACACTTACAACACCTTTTTCTTCCATATGGTTCTGTACATCTTGTTTATAGAGCTTCAATGTCTTTTTTTGAATAGTGCATCTTATACAGTACTGCAATTTTTGCTGATTGTACTGTACAGTATAATACTGTAGATTTACACTCTGTTTTTCATTATAGTACTGCATGTAAGAGTTAAGCAAATACAAGCAAACTCATCAAGTTGGAGTCTCCTTTGACTGATTCTTTGTACTGAATATTATAATATGCATTCTATACACAATTCCTCATTTAGTGACCAATTCATTTAATGACCTGGTGGCAGGAACAGAACTATGTTGCTAAACAATGAGTGTTTATATTTGCTAAAATGTCAATATTTCTATAACAATATGAATATAATGCAATAGAAGTAGAAATAAATGAACTGTATGAAAAATTAAAAACTTCTGTACATGTAAGAATACAATAAAGTGAAAAATTAACTTGTGAAATGGGAAAAAATTTTTCAAATCATTGTTACAATAATAAATTTAACATTATGTGTATTTCACCACAATTAAATTTTTTAATGGTCCTGTTAAGAGGGTGAAGCTATAAGCCATAGATTGGAAGAAAAAATTTTCAAACCACATTATCTGATAAAGAACTCTCAAAATTTAAGAGGTAAAACTCCAACTCAAGCCAGGCGCATGCCTGTAACCCAGTAATCTGGAAAGCTGAGGCAGGAGGAATGCAAAATGCAAACTGAGCCCCGCCTAGGAAACTCAGCAATTTAGTGAGACCCTGTCTCAAAATTTAAAAATACAATAAAAGAAACAGAGATCTGGGAATATGGTTTACGGTGAAAGCCTTGGATTCAATCTCTAGTACTGCAAATCAAAACAAAAGGGAAAAAAAACCAGTCTGGAATGAGAAAATACACAAATGGACACTTTACGGAATATGATACATGAATGGCTGGCCAATAAGCACATAAAGAGAAGGTCAATATCACATTCCTCAGGGAAATGCAAATTAAGACCAAGATCAGATATGTGATCAGATATGTATATGTATCAGATATGTATTGCATGCATGTATAATGCTACATTAAAATTCATAACATACAAAATAGTAATGATGCCAAATACTGACAAAGATTCAGAAAACACTGGACATCTCATACATTTTTAATGAGAATTTATAAAATTCATTATGTATTCCAGAATGACCCTGAATTCATGGTAAGAGTGGTTTTTAAATCATGAATGAGTGTTGAAGACAAATCTATAGAGTAAAAGCTAAATCAGAAGTAGGCAGGATGCAGACAAAAGAAGACTAGACTTCAAAAGGAAATGAGAATTTTCTGGGGAGAGAGAAACGGTCTGTATCTCCACTCAGATCACAATTATACACATGTACTTTTTTGTTAGAATTTTGTGGATTTTTATTGCATGAACTTATATCTTCATATAGTAATTTTTAAAATGCTAAAGTACTGAATGGTTTTTGAAGCTTCTCCTGTGATAATGTGTCTGTTCTCCTTAGACTATTATAAACTGTTCTCCTTAGACAATTATAATCAATTACATTAACAGTCTTTTGCCCGCCATGCTTCATATATTTTAAAAGGATTATAACACTAAGATATGATCATGGTTTAGAAGGTTTAAAATACAGTTAAACATCATTAAATAGAAATGTAGCTCTTAAAATCTCCCTGAAAGAGATTATATTTAAGATGTTTTTCATCCTAAGCACAGCCCAAAATAATAATGCGCACATGTACATACGTATATGTGTGTACACATATAAGTGCACGTATGTGTGGTTGTGGGTCTAAATCATGGACCTAGATGCTTAAAATGTTGCAATGACCTATAAGGCTCTCATATGCTCTGACCCACTGTGTTGCTTTCTTTTCTTTTTTTTGGTCCTTTTCCTTTTTATCGGTACCAGGGATCGAACTCATGACTGCCTGCTTGCAAGGCAGGCGCTTATGCCGCTGAGCTAAATCTCCAGCCCCTTGTGTTGCTTTCTTCTTGCTGTTCTAACATATCTGCTTAAAGCCACCGAAATTTCTCTTCTCATAGTCACGTTGGTGAGGGGACTGAAATGAGTCTTATTGAGCCCTGGAAGCTCAGGGTAGAATCTATTTTCTGGCTTTGTGCAGCACACACAACTGTGTCTCTTGGCTTGTGGCTTCTCCTCCACTAAAGCCAGTGAATTCCATAGCACCTTTTTCTCTGATTCTGCTTCTATTATACCATCTTTTCCTTTTCTGCCCAAAATGTCCCTCTGCATCCCTTTGGAAGGACTCCTGTGATTATACTGGGTTTATCTGGGTAATTCAAGAGAACCACTCATCCCAAGGTCCTCCATTTAATCATATTTGCAAAGATCCTTTTCCCATGTAAAGTAACTCTTTTTCCCATATAAAGGGATGGGAGCCTGGGTAACCTGGGGCCACTGTGAAGCTGCCCACACCCTAACTCTCCAGCTTCATACCCAGCCAAACCCCTTCCCCAGCAATCTGCACCTTAGCTACCAGGCTCTCTTCCTAGGCACTGAAACACAGTATGACTCTGCTGGCCAGTCTTTTTTTTCACACACAGTATACAACATGGGCACCAGAGAAAGCAAGAAACCATTCTGCATAACAAGAGGAAAAGAATTCCAATCCCTGGGGATAACTGAGAAGGGATGAGAAAAAGCAGCAAGGCTAGGAATTGTGCTGACTACACAGCCCAGAGTACAGTCCCATTGGGACAGCTTGCTAAGGGAGGTCAGTGATTTGGGCCATTTAAACCCTTCTCGTCTTCTCTACAAAATGCTCCCTTAGAGCACTACTCATAGAGGCTCCTGAGGGAGTACCTCAAATACCTTTAAGTAACAAAATGATGAAATAACAAGGAAGCCATGAAATGATCACATGTGGGGGACCTGGGCCCAGGGTACAGAAAGGTATACAGGAGCAGGCAACCTGTAGAGTTGGGGTCACAGGAACACAATGAACCAAGCAACCCTGGGGTTAAAGGAGAAATGAAGGGTTCCCAGGCCTGCTCCCTCATTCACAGTTCTATCTGACCATGGAAAAACAGGGTGACAGACAGAGGCAGGTGACCAGGAACAGCTCCATGAGGTAACAAACACTTATCTTCTTGAAGGCTCTAGTCCATCTATCTATGAGCTACTGAAGACAGACAGGTGTTGGGACTATGTCATCTCCCACAACAGGTGGCTTGAAATGCCTGCTGTCAACTTACAGCTGTGGAGAGCCGTGACGCCAGCGTCATCTCCAGGTTCCCCTTCAGGCCCACTAGGGGTGGAACCAATGTCAAAAGGCCTTTAACCTCCACAAACACAGGCCAGTGCTGGAAGAGAAAGGAGGAGATAAATGTACACACAGAATCTTCACAGGTCTGGAAAAGTCTTCAGAATCCTTATAAAATGAACAAGACCAGGGCCAGGGATTTAGCTCAGTGGTATAAGTGCAAGCATGCAGTCATTGGTTCAATCCCTGGTACCAAAAATAAATACATTAAATTAAATTAAATTAAATGAAGACTAAATAGTATCTCAAATAACTTTAAACACAAAATAACAAGAAAGCCATGAAATTTTTCATACTATCAAATCAGCACTCATGATCTCAAGCAAGTCCTTCTATGCCTCTGTTCTCAGGAATCCAGAACACTGGGGGTGGTTCCTGGCTAGAGGCGCACAGGTCCTATCCAGCATTCAAACATGCTACAGTAGTTGTTCAAATAGTATGGAAATTTTTTGCACAATACAAAGTTTTATAGAAGTACAAATGAGTCATCAATTTCAGAGTTAAGAAATTTCACATAGATTAGGAGACCTGGTAACACCTGGTAAGACCAGTTGGGACAGTGGAGTGGCAGAGCCTTTGTCAGAGAATGATTTCTAGGCTGCCCCAGGCCCTGCCTCCTTCTGCTTCCTGGCACTAAGACAGAGTATAAGTTATCAATTAGGAGCAACATACTGAACTCTGAATTTTTCAAAACAGAAAAATCTGTTTAATAGAGACTTTATGTCTCCATAAAACAGAAAAAAAGAAAAGCTAAAAAGAACAAAAGGGATGCAAGTTTCAAGAAAACTGGAAAATAAAAAAATTTATGTACAGAGTTTAAAACAATTCTTATCTGTTTAACATATAACCAGACTGTTCTCTGGAATTAACCGTGTGTGTGTGTATGCACACACTGGGACTTTGTACTGAGCTCCAACCACACAGTTCTCTTTTGTTTTGTTTTTTGAGAAAGTGTCTCACTATTTAGTTCAGGATGGCCTAGAACTTGCAGTGACTCTTCTGCTTCAGACTCTTGAGTGCTGGAATTACAGGCATGTGCCACCATGCCCAGCTCATTCTTAAAGATTTTGTGACAGAGTCTGGCTATGCTGCTAATTTGCCCTTGCTGCGCTAGAACTTTCTGTTCTTCTATCTCAGTCTCCCAGAATCAAATTTCAATATCCCAACTTAGCTGATTAATTTATTTTTTTTTCCTGGTATCTACAGATATATGTGTCCCCTACACAAGCAGCTACTCGGGTCTTAGAATTCTGGGTCTAAAGACAAATTCCTACTTCGGCAGCAAGGACACAGGAGGTGCAGATTTCAAGCCCAAATCCACTTCACCTCTAGAGGGAGCAGGAGAGCCATCTCCAAGCAGCTCCGGACCTCACAGGCATGGATTGGATAGAGGGGTTTTAGTCAGATCCTTTAAAAGCCCCTTTCCGCTCTTTGATCAAGGAAGGTACCCCACTTTTGGCTCCTTCTTCAACTTCTCTCTCTACATTATCTACAAAGCTTTGAAGACACCGCTCTGATAAGAGTCCTAAGGTCTCAAAACTTCAGAAGCAAACAGTGTCTCCAAGAAGGCGGTGTAGCCCTTATCAGCACTGCGCCAATGCCCTCCCTGTGCTCCTGGCAGCATCTGGCCCCAGGCCTATTTGCAGCTGTCCTATCAGTCTTGACATCCTGTAGCATATGGCATGGTGACCATCACCAAGTACATGTCCCACTGGGCTAGGGCTGGCTAGCCCACCCAGGCCCTCATCTACTTCCTCTGCAAATTAAGAGCATTTATGAAATAGGCTAGACCAGATTAGGGCCATTTATGTGCACACTTCTTGCAGGCTATTATGTCTTCCCCTTGCACCGAATGCATGCTGTCCCCACACACACACTAGACTAAGTACCCACCAATGCCAGTCAGAAAAAACTTGTTCTCATCTTTACCTCCCCTGCCTGGGCTCTTTCCCAGTGCCACCAACTTCTGAACATGTTCCATTCTCACTTCTCAAAACTCCATGCTGTGCTGGCCAAGGTTGGCCATGTCGCTGTCCCTAAGGATAGCAGTAACTTTCGGATGATGAACCCCACAACTCTAGTACTGATTCCTCTGTGGGAAGGCACTGTCCTTTCTCCCAACATGGATGAAGCTCCTACAAAAGGCTGACCTCTGAACCCTCTCCCTCTGCCCTCCTAGTTCTATGCTGACCTCTCTAATGATTCCATCTTGGCCTCCAATGTGGGCTCCTTTCCCTCCTCTTGATCTTTTAAGACTGGATGTTCTAATGCTTCATCTTCTGCTTTCTTTTCTTTCACACCCTCTCCCTTCCAAGGTATGAGTTACCTCCCATTGCACACTTGGCATTATTTCCCCAACAGCCACCATCACCTTCTCCACATCGCCACGAATCTAGACTCCCTGTGGTCCCATCCGGCCTGCTGGAGGCCAGCTGCCATAGGAAAGAAGTTGTGAAATGATTCTGGCCACGAGACTTACAAATTCATGCCTGGTCATACCGGGTATCACATATCCATGAAAGATGTTATTCTGTACCAAGTCAACAAACTAGCACTGGCTAAACTGTATCCTTTCTCCAAAATTTGTAATGTCAAACCCCTAAGCCCTGGTACCTCAAAACGTAATTATGTTTTTAGAGACAGTTAAAGAAATGAGTAAGTTATAATGGAGTCCTACAGTTGGGCCCTTATCCAACATGACCAGTGTCCTTACAAGAAGAGATTTTTATCTCACTGAGCACAACCATGTCAGAACACAGGGAGAAGATAGTAGTTTAAAACTCAAAAAACCAACCCTGCAGATACTTTGATCTCAGACTTCCAGTACCTATATGCATTAATAATTGTAATCATAGCTTTCATTATTTAAGCCAGTTGGTCTGTGGTGCTTCGCTACAGCAGCCCTAACAGACTAATACAAATGATAAAGTGGAAAAACGCCAAGTCCTTGTTCATCCAGGAAAGTGACAGTTCTGGAGGTGCCCTATCTCCAATGTGCTCTGTAGCAATAAGAAGTTTCCTTGTTCCCAGTTGTTTGGATGTGAGTTTTCTATTATTTCCAGCCACAAACAAATCTATCAACAGATGTCCTGGGCATATGGCAGTGCCCCAATGTCACTCCTGCCTCGTCCACTGTGGCCTGCATAATTAATGTCACATGGTTACCTCAAACTTAAGATCTGTAAACTTTGGCTTTTCCCACAGAGGTCCTTCTGGCAGCTCTACCTCCTGCAATTCCAGGGTCCTTCTTGCTCTGCCAGCCATGACTTAAATGTTTCATGTCCAATTTGACACTCAAGTTGTCATAATTCTAAAATTCCACCACTGCCCTCTACAGCCACACTTTAAAAGACATTTGTGCAGTTACTGGGGGACTGAAATCCACAATACTTTGGTTCTAGCATTCAGGGGACTCTATAAATTATATCCACAACCTCCCTGTTCTCCTTACTGCCCCAAAGTTCCTCCTCCAAGCATCTTTGACACTGGTGAGTTTTGTCACACAACTATGACCAGGTCACTCAACCATTTATAACCATACACTGCCAATTCCACCCCCCACACAAGTCCATATATGCCCCAGAAACATAAGCAAGAATGTGGCAAGCAGCATCATGCCTCACTAGGACCACAACTAGCCATAGCACTGGAAGGCAAAGGAGAGGTGAAAATAGGGAGGGTGTGGGGCTGGGGATTTAGCTCAGCGGCATAAGCACCTGCCTTGTAAGCAGGCAGTCATGAGTTTGATCCCCGGTACCGATAAAAAAGGAAAAATAAAAAAATAAAAATAGGGAGGGTGTGTAAGAACTGTTAGGGGTACAGCATGCTCAGGACTTAGACTGGGGTCACATGGGGCATGTGCCCACAACAGAGGTCACCCAATGGTCCTCAATATTCATAATGCACACTCTCATTTATCCTTATCTTTGCACACACAGTCCTTGGCCTGGAATGCTTGCTTCTTCCATGACACCTTGGAAATTGCTACAGTAGCCTTTAGGGTCTAATTAAGTCTGTGCTGCTCCCTCTGCATATCTCTGCCCTCCTGGAGGATGAAGGAAGTGTTCTCTCCTCCTACTCACTGTATCCACTCCCTGCCCAGTTCTCCCAAATGACAAACACCCTCCAGGCTACAGCAAAAGAGGCACCAAGAAGAGGGCGTGTTCCTGAGCTGCAATCTAAGGTCCTTGCCAGGAGGGGCTGTGGATGGGTTAGAAATGGAGGAGTTTAAAAACCAGTCCCACACTAGGACACTGTGAAAAAGGTCAAGAAGGGAAGAGTTGGGGCAGGAGTATCAGCAGGGTGGTCTTAGGGAAAGGGGTAACAACCTCTCATGGTACCTACAGAGCTAAAGCCATCAATAAGAGATGGGTATCTACGTTACAAGCCAAAGAAGCACAAGCTCTGCAACAGTGAGTAGCCCCAGCACCAAGAGGGCCTCATGTCCCATATCCTGGGGTGTATAGGAGGAAGCTGCCAGAGGAGTCGCAAGTCAACACTCTGAGGTCAGGCGGATTGAGTGATACGGACCATCCCGCTCCAGCTCAGAGGCATACAAAGAGACAGTGGGCAGCCACTACTAGGAGATGCTGTGGATACTGAGGAACAGGGGACATCATCTTGGATGTCCTTGTGGTTAAAGTCAAATTTACAGACTAAAAAGCAGTGCTTGGGCAGAGGATGTAGTTCAGTGGTAACAGTACATACACACAAACACAATACTCTGGTTTCTATCCCCAGCACACACACACACACACACACACAATAAATGGGTAAAAAACACAACCCAACACATTCAGGTTTATATGTACAAAGAAAATAGTCTGATATGAAACAAAATGCTGACTGCAAATTTTACAAGCATCCTTCCTCCATCACTTACATCTGTTCTTTGTTCTAAAGGAAAATAATACACTAATTCTGGATAAATGTTGGGAGTACACAGAGAGCAAAACCCCTCAGTCATCCAAACATGTTATCGGGACTAAACTCAGAATACACGCAGAACACGAAGCGCAAAAGTCTTTCAGCAAACTCCAT